TTTCGATGCGTGGAGTGGGTCTCGCATTTTCCCGTCGGAGCATATCTCTGGCTTTCTCGTCGTACTTCTTCAGGGCTCTCCTGCGGTCCTGGTAGTAAAGTTCGACGCTTTTCATATACTTCAGTTTAGCCATATGCTCGACATCCTTCTCCAGTTCTTCCGCTTCTTGGGCTTCCAACTTAGCTACGTCTTGGGACGTGCCAAGCAGCCTGCGGGTATTCGTTAGTTGGTCGTAGTATCTCCAGAGGTCATCCTTGCAGTCGTCCACCTTGCATTTTAACGGAAGTCCCTGTAACAGGTTCCCGTAGAGGTCTTTAAGCATGGGGATTTTCCTCTGGCCATTGGGCTTGTCTCGTTCGGCCCTAATCTTCGCGTGGGCGTGTTTTGCCATGCGTCTTACTACGTTCTTGCACCGTGGACTCATTGGTTCCGTAGGTGCGAGTTCATCGAAGGTCTCCTGTTCCGAGACGGTGAACGATTCCGCCTCCGACCCTTCGTCTGAGCTCTCGTCTTCTGGGGTGCTTTCGCCATTAGTTCCCCAGTCCTGTTTGTTCACAAATGTGGCGTTCAACTGCATCCCCGAGGCGTTGTAACCTCCCCGGCCTTGCCAGGTAGCATTGAGTTGTTTGCCGACTTTGCGTCCGCCGTTCCCTTTCTTTGGCTGTCTGCAGTCTCGGGCCATGTGGCCTGGCTTGTCGCAGTTAAAACAGAGTCGTTCCTTGAATTGTCTGTCTTTCTTAGGGTCACGGGGTCGTCCAGGTTTGAACGTGGCATCGAGTTCCATTGGGTCCGACCAACGGTTGTCTCGCGGGTGTTGATCCCGTCGTCTGCCCTCGTTTCCCCGGTAGGGGTAACTTTTCTTGGGCTTGTCATAGGTCCGACGTTCCTTCTGGAATTCGTATAGTCGATTGTCGATTCGGACCGTATGTTCGATTAGCGCTACCATGTCCGTTGGTTGTTGTTCCAAACGGGCAAGTTCCATACGTATATGGCTCTTCAGCCCACGTCGGTAGTGGCTGATGAGTGCGCTGGCGTCCCATCCTGTCTGATTGCCGTATCTCTGGAATTCTGTGGAGTATGTGAGGGCGCTGCCAGTCTGCTTAAGTGCAAACAGATGGTCTTCTGCGGTCTTAATCTCATCGATGTCTCCGAACATGCGTCGGATTTCCTTACAGAATCCATTCCAGCTGCCAAACATAGTCTGCGTAGTTGTCATGCTTCCATTGGTACTTTCATATTTGAAATAGTCCTTGAGGAATGGTTCGATCCATCGCAGGGCTTCCCCCCTAAGGTAGGACGCAGTCCACAGGGCATAGCTCTCCTGGGTGGGAAACTTCTCATCATTGAAGTGCTGGTACAGTTCGACCTGTAGCAAAAACACCTCAAGTTCCTTTCGGTTGCCGGAGTAAGTGTCGGGCAACTTGACGCGTAGAGTTTCCTTGAGTTCATTGACGGTGGGTGCATCGGGCATCTCTTCATTCTCAGGCTTAGACCTCTGAGACGAAGTTGGCGTGGTGGGGGTTTTCCCCTTCGAACTGACGACAGACATGTTGCTTTGTGTGTAAGCCGGTACCTCGTAGAAGTGGTGCTCAAAGTGTAACGCTGACTTCTAAACGATAGAAGACACAGAGGTTCTCTTGCGTAAGGGTTTACTTATCAGAGGAGGCAGGGGATCAGACACAAAGGCTTCAAGTAACACGTTACTAGTATATAACAAATACTGTATTGAGTTGAGCATGAAGCTCCTATCTAAGGAAATACTATCTACTTATATAGTGGCGTCGTGCCTAGTGGACTCTTGGGAACTCACTCGAGTCCTCGGAGTCCTGGACTCTTAGGACTCTTCTCATCATCCTGAGAGTCCGTCACGTGATACTTTCGGAACTACTATTCCCCGCTGCCCCTCCAGGTACCAGGGCCGGTCTCATGCGACCTCCCTCCTTCCTGTCCTGTAGTTGGCCAGCCTTCTTGTTCCGTCGTAACAATTATCTCTCGAGCAAGCTGTGCCCATAGGAGGGTGGGGTGCTTGATTGATCGTGCGATGATTGCGAGGACAGTAGCGTTGAGTACGCTTTCCATATCGATGCAGCCTATACCACCGTCAGAGAGGCTACAGCACGTTTGGAGGTTCTGAATTTTCTTGTGCTTCTGGTCATCCCATACCAGCCGGTAGTATTCTGCATCGAGCTCCTTTTTGACTTGGAGTGGGATGTCGAGAAATCGGAAGGAATAGCGAGGAAGCGCCATTATGAGGGAGTTGGCTATGAGGACTCTCCATTTAAGGGATAGGTAGAAGCGTAGCCACCTATTCGAAACCTTCTTGAACTTTTGGAGTATGGTGTCCCAGTGATTGTGCACTTGGTCATCGATATCGCTGCCGACTGGTATGCCGAGGTGGGTATATGGGTTGGCCGGAGTTATCATTTGGACTTGGGGGATGGAGATTTGGGGAATATCGCCAACGAGTAGGAGGTAGGATTTTCCCCAGTTGATTCTAGATCCTGAAGCTAGAGCATAGTCTTCGAGGATGCATCCCATGTGGTCTGCTTCAGCTTGTGATCGAATGATAATGGCCGTGTCATCAGCATACATTGAGCAGACTATTTTTTGGGATCCTACGAGGATGCCTAGCAGTTGGTCGTCATGTATGAGACGTTGGGCGAGGCATTCGATCACTGCAATAAAGAGAGTACAACTGATTGGGTCGCCCTGGCGCAGCCCACATCTGATATGAATGGTTGGTCCAAAATGGCCGTTGATAAACACCCGGACTGTGGCGTCCTGGTAGAGTGTTTTCATCCATTGTATAAATTGATCTGGGATGCCTAGGTAGGCTAGAACTTCCCATAGGAAAACGTGGCTAACTCTATCGTATGCTTTCTCTTGGTCGAGGAATAGGATAGCGATGCCAGCTTGGTGTGGCTGTCGGTGCTTGCCAATTAGGTATTGAATTGTGTGGATATTATCATCAATTAGGCATCCTGGTAGGAAAGCTGTCTGGTGAGGACCAAGCGCAGTGCTGAGGGCGTTGATGAGCCTTTTCATAAGGATTTCCGTAAAGATTTTGTAGTCCACGTTCATGATTGATAGTGGGCGGTAATTCTTGAGATCTTCGATGTCACCTTTGTCCTTGTATAGGAGGGTGAGAATTCCGTTCGTCCAATCAAGGGGTGTCTTGTTTTCTTGGAGGATAGCGTTGAATAGAGAGTGTAGGCGGGTGGCGATGGGGGCCACGCCTGAATTAGGAGCATGCTGGAGGAGAGTTTTGTAGAACTCGGAGGGTAATCCATCAGTGCCTGGTGACTTTCCCAGAGCCGCGCGGCGGATTGATGAGAGGACCTCATGTATGGTGATCGGCTTTATAAGCTGAGCAGCCTGGCTGCGTGTAATTTGAGTTTTCAATTGGTGAAGGAAGGTTTGGCGGGGCTGGGGGGCCGATGGCTTTTCAGAGTATAACTGGGTGTAGTATTCAGTTGCCAATCGTAAAATGCCAGGAGTATCTTCGATAAGTAGGTCTGTGTTGGGGTCGCAGAGTTTGCTGATATTAGAATATAGCTGGGAGCTTGCGCGGGCGTAGAACCATTTAGAGGGTTTTTCGTTAAGTAGGGAGTTTTTGGCCATAGCTGTGTATGAATAGGTTTGATAATGCCATTCAGCTAGGCAGTTCTCCTGTATCTCGATGGATTGTATTTGAGCTTCCAGACTAACGTCTAGGAAGTTTGGTCTTCTCTTTTTCCATAGGTGGGTTCAGCAGCGTTCAAGATTGGTATGGAGTCAGTTCTTTGCCTTGTTGGCTAGCCGGTTGTACTCAATCGTGAGCTGCTTTACCGTCTCCTTATATTTAGGCCACTCAGTGAGAGGGGCTGTGTGTGGGAGGATATCTAGCGCTTCAGTGCATAGTTCCCGAATCTTCTGGCATTTGAGGAGGGGGGGGTTCATGCGCCATCAGCCAGGGCCGCAGGAGGTTTGGGTTGGAGTGCCGATTATCACTGTGACTACCCAGTGGTCTGTAGGTAGGCCGCTAGGGGTGGTATCCCATTTTTTAGATGAGGGCATTAGGTCTTGCCGAAGGTAGATTCGGTCAAGTCGGGATCAACCTTCGTTTCCAGAGAATCATGTGTATGCAATTGTATCAGGGTGGCGGTCTCGCCAGCCGTTAGTATATTCGGTGATATTTTGTCCCAAGTGATCAATGAAGCGGCGCACTTCTCGTTGGAGGGGGGCGGTAGCCACTTCATGAGATCTTGCATCGATGCGGGTTGTTACCATATTCCAATCGCCTGCGATGAGGTCGACTGAATGTGGGAGGGGGTGGAGCGAAAGGTACTCATTCATAGATGAGAACCATGGGGTCCGGTCTGGCTTGTGTGCAGGGGCGTAGATATTAGCCAAGGTGATGTCTCGACCTTTGGCTGTGATAGTGCATATGATAAGTCGACCGGTAGAGTCCTTAAAGGGATCAGTGGGTGGCCATTTGACAGTATCATTATTAGTGATTACGGCAACTCCAGTGCAGGTTCCATCGAGCTTGTGCGCGCAGATGGATATGAGCGGATACTGGGTTTCATAATAGATAGCTAGGTCAGAAGTGAGATTTGCTTCTTGGGCTAAGTGTAAGGACACAGGGCACCCAGCTCACAGTAATAGCATATGAGAGTGCGAGTCGGAGGCTAAACGGATGCTATCCTATAGGTCTACTATGAAGGATACAAAAAAGATGAAGGGGGAACCCCGTTGAGTCTGTTTCCTTAAGTACCCGAAACGGGCCCAACCCTAGCCCTGAACCTTTCACCGTAACAGGTCTGCATGACACCGCATTTAATAACCTAGATCTTTACATGCCCGTATCTACATGAAAGAACAAACCGTCTAGTGGAAGAGCCCTTGAACCCGTTGGTGGACAGCCTGCTGAGGACCAACCAAGGAATCACTCACCGCTACAAAGTAAGAATACAGGAAAACCCCAGTCTATCAGTAGCGGCCCCAGCTCTGACGCTGACATGGAGAATTCTGATCAAGAAGACATACAGGCTTCCCCTATTAGGGACCCTATACCCAAACTTATCCCCAACTGCCTGAACCTCTCTCTTCCCGGAGGCTTCGAAATGGATGCGATAGACCAAGAAGACAGGCTGGAAGAGCACAGCCAATGCTTTAAATGCAAGAAGATCTCCCGAGCTGAAAAACGAGAGATGAAAGCCCAGATGACGGCCGCCAGGTTACTCGGGGCTGAACCCCCAAACCCGTGCAAAAAATGCGGCGACAATTACTGGGCTGATGATTGCCCAAAGCAAAAAACCAAGACCACAGGAAGAGCGAAGATCACCCAGAGTGATCCCCCTCAGGATACTATCCTCGATAGCATTCAAGTCCTCCGGTCTGGCGACTCCTCCCCCAAAGAAACTCCCGATATACTAATGCCGGATGCTGCACCAAACCATGCTGCAAAGCATAAGCGCATAGTCACCGATGGCACAGTATCAGCGCCTCGGTCACGAAAGAGACTGCGACAGCAGGTGGATGAAGTCACACAATCACTTGGTGCTTCATCAGTCTCCTCAGAGAGATCTGCTTCTACTAGCACCACCTCTCGCATACTCCCCTCCCGTCCCCGAGCCCAAAACCCAAAACGCTCCAGCCAAGAACGTTCCCTACCAGAAGATCTGAAGCAGGTCGAGGAGATGAAGCGCCGTCCATATACGCCGACGGCCTCCACCCCTATATCAAACTGCTGCTCGCTCTAAGGGACCGGAACTTCACCCTCCCTGAGATGGTAGATGCACTGGTTCCACAGCTGTCACAGACTTGCAACGAGTATCATCACACGATGCAAAGGGATGGCTAGCTAAATGCAATAGCCCTGAAGCTGTGCAAAGAGCTTCAGGGAAGAACTTTACCCTTGAATCACACGAAATTAGGGCCTCCCTATATCACTCTGGAGGCCCTACAGCATTCATCACCAATCACTCTGCAGAGACCAAGTTTCCTGATTGCTACTGCAATTGCAAATATGAAGGAGTTCGCCCGGAACAGGTTCTGGATGGGCACCAATGAATACTGAGGAATCACAAGTGATAAGGCAGTGATAGTTTTTGAGAAGGCTCCAGGCGTGCACCACTTCGACCTCCCATTACCTCCGTCTAAAGGATATATCTCATCCTTTGTCATTAAATTTAGAGCAGTTGACCCCGCACACCCTGCAACTTCTGCAAAGGTAAGGACCACTCTGCAATGCGATGCAAACTCGCTCAGCAAGTGGTCCTCACCGGTGAAGAAGCTCTCGAAGCACTACTGGAGGTACTGCATCCCAGCGCATTATGAGCCCTTCTTCTACCAATATAATAGTTGTCTCCCTCAACATGCTTTATCTGCTGAACCGAGCTCGGACGAGAGCAGTCGCTGTGAAGGATTGAGTTATTTTGCTTCAGCGACGTAGAATAGAGGTAGGAAATGCTTTCTTCTTCGGCGTGCGTACTGGTCCCATTGAATCTCTGACGTAGAGGCACTCAATTTAGATTCTGAATAGAGGGCTCTGATCACCACAGTGCTCTCTATCTCATCTACTAACAGCACGTAGGACTCGTGGTCTCCTAAGTCTAAGAATTATAGGTAGTGAGGGGAGCAGCTGTTAAGGAGGCTAGGGAATGCAAGAGTATCCTTTTAGGGCTAGTGACATAGGGAGGGAAGTGAGTTAAGAGGGGAGTGACTCTTAGGTACATAGGGAGGGGTAGGAAAGGAAAGAATAAGCTAGACAGCTTAAGAGGTTCTGTTCCTATAGAGACCTAAACTAGAGGAAGGTTACGTAGATGTAGGCTAGACACAAATACCTCCCCTAAACGAATCCTACTATTACAAATTATACACTAGGTAGACGGGCTACGTAACAGCATTTTGGTTAGTAGGATAGGAAAGCTAGGTCTATGCTACTTAGATAAGGGTATAGATCTGTAGTAAATCCTATGAGACACGGTCGGCCTTATAGGGAGGAGAGATCTAGCAAGGTAACGCGAAACAGCTTAAAGCTATAGGGTGTAGCTGTTACGATGGTCACGGAGGTCAAGAAGCCAGTCCGGAGAATAATAAGCTAGATTGAATCTAAAGAGAGAAGAAGAAGAAGAAGGAAGGAAGGTGAGGCTATTCCTCATAATATACAGTTGTCCGCTTAGCGGTTGTAGCCTTGGTGGCTAAGGCTGCACCTGTAACAACCATAACAACATAACAACCATAACAACCATAACAACCATAACAACCATAACAACCATAACAACCATAACAACCGTAATAACCATAACAACTGTAACAACCGTAAAAACCTGTAAGCTATAATCGTAACACTACCTCCCCTCTACTAAGATTGATCTCCTGATCAAGAGTAAGATCATTGTGGCTTATGTGGGTATTATCGGTGGAAAGCTTGTGTGAGTTCAGGTGCATTGTTGAAGTTTGTAGCAGGATACCAAGTGTTGTCTGGTGGGTGGTTCTTCCATGCTGCCATATAGAACAGCTTCTTCCGTAGGAATTTAGAATCTAGGATTTCTTCAACTTCCCATTCAAGTTCATCTTCTATAATAATTGGCAGGGGTGGTTCATGGTGCTGACCTTGTAAAGCATCATCTGAGTCAAGTCGTAAGAGGTTGCTGTGAAAGACAGGATGTATCTTCATGCTTGGTGGTAGCTCTAATCGATATGCCACTTGCCCAATTTGTTCGAGAATCTTATACGGACCAACTTGCTTGTGATCGAGTTTCTTCGATGGCCTCTGAATCCTGATATTTCGTGTAGATAGCCATACTTGATCTCCAACCTGATATCTTGGTGCAGCTTTCCTGCGTTGATTTGCGAATGTCTCCATGCGAGTTTGCGAGAGTGTGATTTGGTCTTGCAGAAACTCCCAAATATCTTTCATGCTTTGTATCATATCCTTGTGTTCCTGTGGTGCTATTTGGAACTCACTGTTCTTAATATCAAAACTCATTCTTGGCTCGAAGCCTTTATTTGCAAATAATGGACTGATTTTGTAGAGTCTGAAGGTAGAGCATTTGCTGCAAATTCTGCCATGCAAAGATATTCGACCCAGTTGTCTTGGAGATAGTTAACATGAGCTCGTAAATATCGTTCAAGTTCTGCATTGAACCTCTCAGTTTGCCCATCCGTTTCTGGGTGGAAGGCAGTAGACAATTTTGTTATAACTTTCCAAACTTTGCAGAGGATTTTCCACACTGCAGCCACGAACTGGGGGCCTCTGTCTGAAAGGATCGAATTTGGTAAACCATGGTGTTTCCATACATGTCAAAAGAGTAGCTGTGCTGTTGCTTCTGCAGTTGTGCCTTCTTGGCCTGCAAAGCATGGGATAAAATTCTTTTGTAAGTCGGCATGCTACGACAAGGATAGCATTGCTTCCTTCAGACAATGGCAATCCTGTAATAAAGTTGAGTAATATGTCCTGCCACGGCTGGTTGAAGAAGTCCGTTATAAGCATCTCTTGTAGGTTTTGATCTTTTGCAGATATGGTAGTTCTTGATGTATTGTATAATTGTCTTATCCATCTGGGGCCAGTAATACTGTCTTTTGATGACCCGAATCATCTTCCCAATGCCAGGGTATCCCATTTCTGGTTGGTCATGAATTTCTTGTAAGAGTTCGACATGAGCACTTTCTGGAACTCAGACTCTATTATGATAGTATAAGAGCCCTTCCTTCACCTCGCAATATGCTAGAGCTATGTCTGGACTGTTTCGTTCTCCATTCTGCAGCTTCTGAATAGTGTCTTTGCATAAGCTGTCTTGAAGTTGCGCAGTTTGGATTTTGTCTAGAATACTTGCTTCCTGTAGGTGGACTGGCGCGAGTTGGATGTCTTGATTCACCTTAGCATCTTCGAATTTCCTTATCTCTTGGAGGTCTGGATGGAGTCTCTTGAGTGGTAGCAGGGTTTGAAGTTGTTGTTTTTGGTGGTCATCTTCTTCGTTCCCTTCTGGTCTATCTCCTGGTCTTCGAGTTAATGCATCTGCTTTTCCGTTCTGTTTCCCAGGTCGATATATAATTTGAAAGTTAAATCTTGACAGAAACTCAGCCCATCAAGCTTGCCTTCGAGTAAGCTTCTTTGTTGTCATGAAGTATTTAAGACTCTTGTGATCTGACAAAACTTGGACTGGCATTGCTGTGCCCTCGACTTCTGGTCTCCATGCTTCGAAGTATCTGATGATGGCAAGTAACTCCTAGTCATAGATTTCGTAATTGCATTCTGCAGGTGCCATCTTTTTCAAGAAGAATGCAACTGGATGTAGGATTACAGTGGCTTTCAGCCGTCCACAAGGTCCCACCGGAGCTCAATTCAATTTGGATCCGGTGGCGCAAACTATATCACAAGAATATCCAGGACGGGGTCATCAGAGCTGGAGCCCGCAGATGGGGAAGCGGCATCTGGAAGACCCTATGGGAATCTGGAGCTACAAAATTCGGCGACATATGGGATCCTGACGTTGATAGCCCAATCACCCCACACTCCCTCACACCACAAAAAGCTTCGGAAGCCCGGCGTGCGATAGAACGACTCGTGGACAAAATGCCACCATCACGGAAGGCAGTCCTTCATTCTAGAGCGTTCTCATTATACGACCCAAGCGACCCCCCAAGGGAAGAGTTCTTCATTGCCTACAATAAGAAATAACTCCCTATCCATAAGCTCAACTTCACGAAAGCCTACAAGATTATGCGAGCACGCCGCCTCCATAAGGTAGACTTCTCAGATGCTACTACCAATATCCTCACGGCCTACCGATCCATAACTGGGATATCATACTCCCCTGCTACACTATGGAAATCGGTCCGAAACGACTATAGTTATAATAAGGCAGGCGACCTACTATGGCGCCTCCTACATAATAAGTATTTACAGGATGCTCTCTAGAATGGCTCACGCCGAACCTACAGCAATGCCCGATCCATAACTGAGACTTCACAGCAGATCACATATGACTCTCGTGCTCCGTATCCCAAGGAGTATGGGACGATGTCGCCAACATATGGCGCCGCATCTCACCCCGCCCGCCCTGATCCCTCGTTCTATGAACGAACTTAAAGCCCTAATGGCCTTCGGCCCCTCACACGACCGTGTCTCCAGAAGACAATGGCAGTCGATGGGCCGGACCGCCATATGGAGCCTGTGGAAGGCATACCTCTCACACTCCTTTGAGAAACCTGTGTTCCTCTGGACAGAGCACAGAGCAAGAGCGGCCTACCGTGCCATGATTTTTCAACGCATCCTATCGGAAAGAGGCCTTAGTACCAAGGAACTGTACCGTAACGCTGCGCACAATGAAGGATCCTTTGAGCGAACTTGGAATGAGAACCCCCGTAGCATCCGCATCCTCCACGGACCGCAATGCCTCCAGGACCTCCCCCCTCTACTTTCCGAGGAACCTACCCAACTACCCCCTAATTCTACGGACCTACTTGCCCCTACACAAACCCATGTGGAGGGGCAATGGGACACACCGACGAACTCCCCCTAACATTATTACAGTCACAATATGATTGAAATCAAATGGGCACATACGGGGGCCACGTCCCGAAACTATCAGCCCCCTTGACCCGAAACACTACAATAGAAGAGCGATGGAACGGTGGTTCGACTCCACCATGAAGCTCCCGGTGGCAACATATCTCTTCTACCTCTACGGAGGATACAAAAACAACACCAATGCTTCTATAGATGGGCCTGTACCCAAGTTAGGTTCTTGTCGTTAGATGGTTTTCATCTCCATTTGGTTGGTAGTCCTCTGTTCTAGGTTGGTTAGTAAATACCTTCACACCTAGTATTTCTCCTAATTAAGGCGCAACCCTCTCCTAGCTCCAACCGTGACTCAATTTTGGCTCTGCAGACTCTCAAAAGAGAGATGGAGGTTCGTAGGATGCACCGTGTATAGGTGTTGAGTCTTCGCATCCCTAGAGAAGTTGAGGGGGGCGTTGGATGGGAGGGTTAGGTAGATTTGGGGGGTTGATTTGGAGGAGCATTGTAGGGAGGCTGTGAGGGGGTTTTGGAAGGGGAGGAGGGGAGAGGGGGCGGTGGAGGCGGCGTGATAAGGATGGATAGGTGAATAGATGGTGGGAAGGGGGATAGAAATGCGAGAGAGATAGACTTGTGGCGATGGCGACTCTCAGAGTATATTTCATTCCTAACTTGACCCTTCCTCCAGCTCTTCTCTTCCTTGGTATATCCACCACCGCACATGATTTTCGAAAACACCCTACAATCAAACTCTCAATACGCAAACGGCCCATTCACACCATCCACCACAACCGCCGGGTCCCGCATCCCCACCATAGATGAATTATACGTCATCTCATAAGCCCCAAACATCGAGTTATCAACTGGTACATATACCCGTCGGTCTCCCCTCCTCTCTACGTCGCTGTCCCCCGTTAGGTCGATCACAAACTGGGTTTTTGACTTCGGTGGTCTTCGCCTTGCTGTATGTGTTTGGCTGTGCGATGCTCCCGCAGTGGCAGTATTACTAGTACTACTAGCGGCTGTCCTCCTCCTTTTAGGGCTCTGTTCTTCGGATGTGCTGGCCGGTGTCTTTGCTGTTTGTATTCCAGTTTGAGGCATGCTCGGAGAAGCAGTATCACTAGCCGTTGTCTTCCGCTTCTTAGACATCTGCTCGTCAGAGGCGCCGCCCTGTGCCTTTGCTGGTTGCAAAGTGCTCCCAGCCGTACTTTGTATCTGCCCCCGTATATTTCCCCTTTTTGTAACCTGTGGAGTTGGCCACAAGTTGAAAGCTTCATCCGGGCGTTTTCTACCCTCCACAGTCGATCCCATACGATCTTTCAACCAAGCGATTTTCTTTCTTCTCCTCGCTGATAGCGGCGAGCTCTCCCCCACCACCGTAGCCCTCGCCGGCGCTCTCACCGGTAACGGCGTGCGCTTAGCCTTGGATACCTTCCCCTCCTGCGAACTATCCCCTTCGGCCCCAAACGCGTCCTCTATAGCATTCCGTATCGAAAACCGCGATGCACTTGCGACTCGCTCAGCCTTCCGTTTCGCGGCTTGCTCCATCGCGTGCTCGGCACGTACAGCAGCAACGTCAACACCGAGACGCGCTGCGACGGTGGGTGGAAAGCGGGATTTTGGTAGGGAAGGAGGTGGGTTTGTTGGGCTGATTGGGATGTCATTTTGCGTTTTGTGGCGCTTGCGAGTAGTTTGGGGAGCCCCGGAAGTAGAGCTGCTCAGTGATGAAATGTCGTCGTCTGTTTTCGCAGGAGAGCTGAGCTTAAGTTTGTCCAACGCTCGGCAGTATCGATCTTCAGATACATCCCCAGAGGAAGAGTTTGAGTCAGGTATGGCCGTAAATTCGCCTCGGTCATCAGATGTGATCATGTCGGCAAAGAGTTGCTTCTGAATCTGTTCAGCAACAGGAACTTCACCCGTATCATCTTCTTCAGGACCATTTTTAAGCCAAACTTCTCTGTAAGAAAGACCCTGAGCCAGTGCAACAGTGCGCGCAACGCTATTACCAGCAATTTTATACTGCTCGCCACGCGTGCCAGTCAAGGCGTCCCCCTGCACAAACCCCTGTGCTATTTTCGCTTCCTCAATGGTAAGCAGGCGCGGCTGGCTCCAATGGAGGACGCGGCCAGAGCGGGCATTTTCGGGAGAGCAGTTGGTGACAATAGTCGAAAACAGGGAGGTGGGAACTATGCGGCCGTAAGCTCTAGAAAATTCCATTGCATTATGTCGCTGCTTCCCTTTCTTCGTGACGGTATTGAAATTTTCGTAGTCGTGCTTGGTCATGCCGGTGATATGTCGGTTCTTCCATGTTTTGATGAAGTTCATACCGGGGGGGCTGAAGGGGATGATATTCATGTGTTGTCTTAGCGTATCTCTTGGACTTCTCGACGGGCGGTGGTCTGGATACTGGGAGCAGTGGCCTGGGTGACCATCACCGATGTCTGGTAGGTGCTCGGTAGCTTCGGCCGCAGAAACAAACTTGAACGGAGTTTCCACGAATAACCTTTCACCAAAGGCCTTTCCATTCGCCATTGTCCCTAAACCACGATCACTTGTGCCATTCGGGTGAGAATGGGAACAGTCGGGACGTGGTGGCAGCTTAAATCCAGGGGCTGCAACAGAGACGAAAAGACGGCTTCTACCCTGTGGACTGCCGAAGCTCCATGCATCCAGAACGTAGACCTGGAGCTGATATCCCATCCCAACAATACAGCAAATGAGCTGGGACAGGGAATCATGATTTCTTCCCTTGCCTTTCTGCGCCATTGTTAATACATTTTCCAACAATGCGTATTTGGGTCGGTAAAAATCAATCATCGATGCCACATCAGCAATGAGGGATTGGTTTTTTAGGCCCTGAGCCGAGTCTTTGTTGGGGTTGAGGATTGAATATCCGACACAGGGGCTTCCTGCTGCTATGAAATCGATGTCTCCGGGTAATGGTATCTCAAGTGCTCCTTCGACATTACCACTCAAGGCTTTGATAAGCATGTCGTCAACAGAGCCACAGAAGAATTGGGTTGTCGTTGGATCTTCGGTGTTGGCGTAATAGGTGGCAATCGCATTTGGTGCCATATCGACTGCATGGGTAAACTTGATAGCCCCTGCTTCTTCAAGGCCCCTGCCAAAATTTCCTCCGCCACAGAACATATCCAGCCCACGCAAGCGTCGAAATGGTGGAGGCTGCGTAGGATCAAAACCTTGGATTAGTGATTGTGGGCGGCTGGTCGAGTCGATCTCTTTCAAATGATTTTTATCATCTAGCCTCACTAGACGACTTGCGATATAGAACATATCGCCAGTGCCATCACGACAGTAAGGGGCAGGGACCTCTTTATTTATGATTTGGCTCTGGCTGTAAAAGCGCACGAAGCACCGACGATAAACTTCGTCGGCATCAATGCTGGCCATATCGTCACTATATACCAGTTCGTTTGGTCTTGCAGGAGTATCATCTCCGATCTCACGGCGCCGGAGCAGCCTCCGGACTCTCACAAAACTTATTATCCCTTGCACAAACCCTATAATCTCACATGGCTCGAGACCAAAGTTTGACTTGAAGCACCCTTTGGGATTAACAAGGACAGTGTCGCCAATTTTGTATTGCTCTGCAAGTTTTTGTATCGGGGTGGTAACATTGACGACCAAATGATCGCATAGTTTGTGCTCTTCCTTAAACGTAACAAACGAATTATCGCTCTCATAGGTTTGCCGAATAAAGAAGTCCGCTTCGGTTTGGCCTGGGTTGCCATCCCAGGCTACAGAGACCTTGCAGAGCACTTCATCCTCGGATATTCGAGAAGTGCTGCAACTGCAATTATCGGAAAGAAAGAGCTCATCGCCGTGGGGGTACTTCATAAGCGCGCAAGCTGTATCCGCTGGCCTATATAGCCAAAGAACATGGAATGACCGGTTTCCGCTCTGGGTGGTGTGAACCCCTTGCACATAGACATACCAGCACTCATCTGGTTCTTTCCAGTGAGTTTCCTCATCTTTCCAGCTGCTACCAACTCCATCTGTCTTCACTCCGAGGACATCGCCAACCGAAATAGATTTAACATCGAATGGCCGCGAACAGAACTGTTGTAATGACCCTTTCACTTTGCGAGACTTGGCAGCCGGAGTGATGCTCGTTTGAGTTTGCAAGTCGGGGTTCTCTTCAGTGAACTCCGCATCTAAGGTGAGATGTAGAGCATTTCCTTGGGACTCGCGGCGAATCTGGCTTTGAATGGATGGATGGACCTTCTTCAGGTGACTGCCGAATTTCATGTGCTCAAAGCAGTCATACACATACGGGGTGACGGCTGTCATCGTTTCCTTCGGCTCGTGAAACGGAATGGCTGTCTTGTATTTTACCTCAGCCCATATGTCCAAGTCGTCCAACATATATGTTCCTATGGCGTCTTTGGCGATGAAATCAATGTTAGATGTGAGCGCCGACCGGAAATCTCGACCATTGTATTTTTTCAACCACTCTTGGAATGAGGCTGACTCTCGGTGTTCTTTTCCCATCCGATCTGCAAAATCTCGTCTGAAGTTGTGGATAGACACTTTACGGCCCGCCTCAGCAACCTCCAGAGCGTAGTCGACAAAGTGTTTCGAAAGATTGGCCAGCCACAAGTACCCATCGTGATATCTCTTATAGTGTGGATGGGGTTCTTTCAGTCGGTAATAGACATTTGATCTGGAGTTTGCGCATGACTTAATCCATACGTGTTCGACCTCGTCGAATTCTATCCCATACCCCGCAACCGAAACAAGCTTGAATGGCACGCCCTGCACATATCTCTTCTGTCCTCCAACACTCAATATACCATCAAAACAGTACAATGGGTTTCCTGGTCGAGTTATCAGGTCCTGCAGACCAGTCATCTCATACGCGTGGTGGCCGTTCGTTCCTGGCAAATAGATGAAGAACTGGGATAGTTCAATCTCGAGGAATTTGTCGTCGCCATAAGAAGCATTGAGCCCAGAGGGATTCTCTTGCTTTACCAACTCCTGGAAGTCCTTCACCACCTGCCACTCTTTTGACAAGGAAAGTGGTGGTGTATTGCCTTGGTAACCTGATAACGGGTATATGAATTCAGATTGCCGCAAGTGGTGGAGGATCTTCTTTTGAGGTTTCGATTGTAAATCAAGGGCAGTATCAATTAGTTCAACGAGGGAGTCATCCTCTGGGGAGAAATCGGATATTTCCACAGGAAACTCCGGTGATGGGCTTGGATCATCCTGCTCCGAGTCGTCGTCAGATCCACGGGGGGAAGGCGGTGTAAACGACAGTTGTGGAGTGATATAGCCATGTTCGACGTCTTCGTCGTCTTCTTCTGTAGGCAATTTCATGTTAGTATATATATCTGTGGCTTATAGCGGAACAGTTTGGCCTGTTGTAAGTTTACTTGCCAGTTATCCATGGAGGCATTGTGAACACATATATAGGCGAACCACTTTCCTGAGCCTTGTGGAACTTATTTCGTATAATAAAAAGTAAAAGTAAAAGTGAAGTCCTCTATTCCCTACACATTCGTTTGTCGCTGATATCCGAGAATGACTAGGCAAGATCTGCTGGCACCCGGCGGGGCCACTGGAGAATGAATGCGCAACTTCCAGTTACTATTCTCGGGGGGGGGGCACAATTATAATAGCCAAATACGCAAGAATAAAGAACGTCCAACAAAGATCCAAGAGCCTCGGGGACCAATGGCCCAGCGCACAAAAAGAGTATTGTGAGGGGGACCGGGGACAAGGTGTGTCGTTGGGAACTGGAAAGCATTGACCGTTCTCGTCTGCGTCGAGAGGCGAAGGTGCGGCAGGGGCCATTGTTCGAATTTATTTTGGATCCTCCCTTGCTTGTCTGGAGACCCCAACACCGAAATACTCCCATACAAGAACAAAGGGATCTGTACTCACACTGTGGAATGTTTGGAACAAAGAATTCTATTCTCTGAAACTGTGGCGTAGCCCTTGCCAAATCCGATAATTTATTGCTCATGGCAGCTGCTAGACACAGAAACCGAAACCCGGCGCTGGGAGAGAAGCAGACACAGTTTAAATGACAATATCACTTGGTATAAACTCATTTTTAGTTCTGATTGGATAAATCTACGAGGCCGCGAGACAACATCATTAAGTTAGCATTGATATTAGTATATATTGACCCCTTCCCCCCTCGACGCCCCCACCATAGAGCAATTCGCCTGCCCACTCTGCGTCACTGTCGTCTAAACTAAGTGCGCTTTTCTATTCTGCCTATGTGAGTCCTCATCCGGTATTGTAGGCTCAATAGCAGAGTCAGCCCGCTAAGTCCTACGGCCGGGGGGGACAGGTGGATGACATGAAGAGCCACTCGGTGGTGAGAGTGGCACGGTGACAGCACGAGTTTATCTTCACGGCGAGAAGGATGCGAGAAACCCCGGTCAAGAAACTGGAAACTATCCAGGTAATATTGCCCAGAATATATAATTTAGTTAACTCGAGGTCAGCACACGGGGGTGTACTTGTCGGACATGCTTTGTTTACTTTGTTAGCTCATCATCTGCAAACGACGACATTTATATAGATTTCGTTGGTACACCCTGGTAAGGTTGAGAGAGATAGATTTGGCTCCAAGTTGGGCGACAAGCCGGGACTCCATAGCTGTAGACCAGAGTATGCACCAGACTTCAGCTGATCGAGCCCGCAACTTCTTCTTACCCCCTCAACAACAATCTCAGCAGATCACAAGCTATCGAGCACAAAATAAATAGTCACAGTTAAGGCATGGTATCTATGAACAAGTACCCCCCTATCCCACCAACCACATCGCCGCACACTAATAAAAACAAAAGAACGCCTTTAAACAGCAGTAGTTGGGGCCTCGCCCTCCGCCACCACCGCCGTCCCAAGCCCCCTATCGGGGCTCTGCAGGACCAGCTGCTCATGCCTCCTCGCCCGTAAAAAGTCGCTAATAGCCCTTATGAGAATAAACCAGCCCACCACCATCAGAATATACGCCGCCCAGTCATAGCCATTCAGCCCGCCATCTCCAGCCTCGAAATCATGGCCATCCGGATTATGCGGTGCATTGCCAGAGGAGTCTCCTGGTACCGCTGAGTCCCCATCATCGGCGCCTTTCATGTAGAAGCCGTACTGGATGAGGGTGACGCCGAGGCCAGCGCGGGAGCCGTTCTTCGCGGCGTGGGTGGTGTGGAGGAGGTAGGTGAAGAGGAAACCGACGAGCTGGAAGGACATGCTGATCATGCCGTTCCAGGCGAAGGAGAAGAAGGAGCCGACTGCGAGGCCGTCGATGTACACTTCGTTCGGGTCGTACGATCCGGGGGCGACAATCGTCGTCTCCCAGTATGGGGGCGCTGCATCTGCGGCGGCTTGTTCGTATGTCTAGTCATAGTCAGTATGTCCCTCTGCAGGGTGGTAAAGGGACTGTGGACGTACAGGAGGGTGTTCCTCCACCTTCTCGCCTCTCTCCGGCTTGGCGCTCAGATTCGCAAAGACGCCATCACTACCGCTTCCACCTCCAAAAACCCTCCCCTGTATCGTGGGCGCAAAAACAGGTGTATGTGCCGGCCTTGTATCAGCGAGCTGTATCGCACCGTCTGTCCTGGGTGGCGCATCGGAGTCGCTTCCTGTAGGTGTGTCATGTGCTGATGACGAATCCGTCGCGGTCCCCCGCATCAGCCGCTGCCGGTCGTCGCCGTCGTTGTCATCGTCGCTATCTGAGCCGTCGGCATCAAAGGCATCGGCGAGGTTCTGGTCTGCAAGGGCGGGGTGGCTGGAGGATCGGGCGCGGGTGGGAGATGAGTCGTGGGAGCGGAAGGAAGGGGGTGGCGAGTTGGGGGTTGTGGGTGTAGGGAGGTAATCGTCGTCTGCTGCGGCTACCTGTGGTTGAGGTTTGGTTAGTAGAGTGTCATGACTACAGCAGCGACATCGTGAATGATTCATGGTCTCGACCATGAAGGGGGTCCTGACGTACCCGCTCATATCGTGAGGAACTCATTTGTCCTGGCACTCTCGCTCCTCTCTATCCACCTAAGTATATATATAAAAGAAAGTAAAAGAAAGTCGTATCGAAGGATTGTCAAGACAAATGGAGATTTGGAAACAGGCAAACGGTTAAAAAAAGGTATCGTCGTCCGGTTGGTGTTAGGTTCCAGAAGGCGGATGCATGACGGAGTGTCGCCACCGAGCAATATTCCGTTCTGACGATGCTGATTGGCCAGCGCACTTCGATATTTCCGACGCCTCGAGATTCAATCCCATCAGCCTCGCTTGAACCCTTAGCTGTCTCTCATTCAGCCGCAACAATGTCTAAATCTGTACGCTCTCTCTTCTGGCCTTCCTCATTCAATTCAGCTAACTCTCTTAGGTCGCCTACAAACACCTCGTCCGCGCCCTCTCTCTCTGGCCCAAGGACCGTCTCCGCCCAGACTGCCAGCTCCAAGACATCCTCCTCGCGCGCGCAAACAAGACCTTCATCCCAGCCGCCTCCGCATCAGGCGCCCCCACGCCCGCTATCAACGAGAGAGCCGAGCTCGAGAACGCGAACGCGTTATATAGTCTCCTCGACAACCGTTATGCACTGAGAGTAAGTTATTTTGCTCGCGGTGGCAGGAAGAAGCGGAGCAAGGTCTGGTCTGTGGTGAACAATTAGCTAACAAAAGCAGTACCAACCCCGAAAGAACCTGCTCATGCGCCCAGCGAGCAACCCAGATCACTACAACGATATCATCGAGGAGATTGACGCCGCGCCGAGCCGCGGGATGTGGGGACGCATTAGAAACCGCTTGTCGGGGTTGTTGAGGTTTTCATAGGTGCGGAGCGGCGACTGGTGGGATGTACGATACAGGTTGTGTAAACTGTACGATGCAGGCTTAGGATAAGGCTTTAATAGAGAGAGGGGCTGGGGCGAGAAGAAAGTGATATGTATACGGGATATATATGGCATAGCTTGGCGTTTACGGAGAAACAGTGTATGATACAATAGCCACTGGCGGCAGATAGGAAAACAATTGGGAGAGATATCTATATATAAATGCTATTCAGCATCTCTCACAACGAAATCTCTCGGGTGTGTCTGATGCCATGTCTGGGACTACTTCACAGTCTCTAGGGTTGAGAGTGACGAAAAAGGTAATAATGCAAAGATGGAAGTAGCACCACCACCACAGAGCCTAGACACACGGCGCTCTTCCCGTTCCAACGACCCCACCGCCTCCGTACCCACCACCAATCCTTCTCACCACCGAACCAGTCTCACCTTCGCCCCCTGTCGCCACCGAAAAGCCGATATTCCGAGAACCCCCTAACATGCCGCCGAAGTCAAAGGCGATAGCGATATTCTAATCAGTTAAGGAAAATGAACCTCGGCCAGAGAATGTGTCTCATACATATGGAGCACTTCGCTGGATTTTAGCCACCTGTATGTTTTACAATATCTCCTGTTCTCATGTGACTTTTGAGAGCCCGGGAATAGGATAGGAGGAGAGGGGGTTATAGCCCAGATAAATAGAGTAGTTGGGCTTGTAGAGACCTAACAAGATACTATATACGAGTATATAGCAAATAATATGTTGACTTGAGTACGAAGCTTCTATGAACAGCCGTGGATATAATAATATACCCCTTCTATTTTATATATCTAACCACGCAGCGGTCCTGAGAATCCTGTTGCTCTCAAGTTTCTTCCTGGTCGTAGACTCACAGCAGGGTGATGGGAAAGGGAAACATTTCCAAGCCAGTCATTTTGCGGCTCAGCTAGGTCTAACTCGTGGAGCACGTTTTGATGTCATGTCTGTTCTCCCCAAAGCCTCGGTAGATGGCTGCTGTGATCTGGGATGCCCCCCTTTCTGCATAATGGGTGAATCCATCATCCTTGACCAGTCACGAAGCATTTCAGTATTTTCTTTTGAGGTAGCCACCTCGTCACCAGCACGTTCAATCATTTCGATATTGTACGCCTTGACGGCATTTTTGACGCTGGAGTGATCGTCCAGAGCAGACTTTAACTTTGTGACAAAGCTGGCGGCATCAGTGATACCGTGATTCATACCTTGACCGCGTTCTATATAGCTTAAGTCAGTTGTGCATTCTTATTTTTACTGGAAGTACCCCAGTGAGAGGAAATTCATGACAGAAAACAGACAGATGAAAGCACATAATAGATAGTAAGAGAAACGTACGAAATGTCATCGGATGTGCGGCATCTCCAGCTAAGGTGATCCTCCCATTACGATCATCCCAAGGGATAGGCATCCAGTATGAGATTTTATTCTCATGTATAGATGTGCCTTCCGGAATCCAGAGATTCGCAGAGCGGAATGGTTCTGCGAAAGTTGCTGCTTTTTTCTTTAGGTTTTCGAGCGATATAACATCATCTTTGCCCTTGTGCGAGGTTGTCTGTAGCTGAAAGCTCCAAGTGGCTGGGTCGTTGGGATCAGGGACATTCTGGACTGCCAGGATTGTCAACTTTAAAATGCTGGAAGAATCTAGGACAGAACACACTAGATATCCACAACCAATGCCCATCAGGATGGATTCCCATAGCCATTATTGGATGCAGCTGGCGCACGAAGCGGGCTTTTTTAGCATCATCATACTTGACGCATATGTTCACCGCTGAATATGGCACACTGGATGCACGGCCCTTTTCCGGCCCAAAAATACAGGTTCGGACGGCTGAATGAGCCCCGTCTGCGCCCACAAGCAACGAGCCAACTGCTCGCGAAGAATCCGCAAAAACGGCCCTAACAGTGTCTTTATCATCGTCATATACGACATCCTTCAAAGTCTTACCGTACTAAATTGCGGCTGCGAGCTTCACGAGTATTTCGTCCACGAGATACGGCACGTACTTCAACTGATATACCCTCTGCACAGAGGCTTCTGAACTTCCTTCTGGATACACGGAACATCCGCAACAGCGGCATCCTTAAGTAACTCGCCAGTTTTCCCATTTAGAGTCGGCAGAAGTCCTAGGTCAGGCGGGGTGAAGTACGGATCATTTGCGACGGACTGAAGACGATCGAAGAGGGCTTCAGGAAGACATTGTCGTAGTAATGGGATCCCCCACTGGATCGACACCCCCCATTCCGCCGCTCTATAATGCGACGCAGAGGGCTCGGACTCGAAGACGATACATGCAATGCCTTCCTGGTGATGAGTATTAGCACACGCATATGTGATTGGGACCCGAATATCTGGTTTGTATGGTACCTTCTTCAGACCCTGGGCGATAAGCAGGCCAGTAATACCTGCTCCTGGTGTCAAATCTTGGGTCACCACAAACTGACATGTCGCTTAAACTGACATGTCGCTTAAACGGACTCACCAGCTCCAATCACGAGCAGTCGAAAGGGTACATCTTCAGACATTGTTCTAGGGATTTCCTCGCCTCTTTCAAATCGTCTTACGGACATACGAAACGACAGCAAAGGAGGGGTAGATGGGTAGAGGGATAATACATAAAGTAGTACTCCGGTAAGTACCAACACCCTGAGGATGTTCAACGTCTTGCGGCACGGGACGTTGATCCGGCTCCGCGAGACCCACTGACGGATCCGTGTGGATGGCTAGTGTGCGCCACGGGGGACCGACCCCGTCGGGGGACCTAAACCGGACCGGACCACGGTCCGGTCTGAAGCTCATAAACCGCGGTTCCCCGTCGGTCTGCCAAGACTGTCATCACCTGATGACTGGGTTAGTTGACAATGACGTGTAAATATTCTATATAATGACTTATTTTCCATGTGTAATTTGTAGTAGATGCAATTACTATAATTATTACTATAGATCTATATTACGCCATGACTCCCGGATTTCCCGACCAGACCGGGACTTGTTACGGACTTGGCTTAACTCAATTGTTTCGACCATTTCCCTATAAGGTGACTGGGCCCTATTGTCCTCCTTTGGCCTTGTAAGTGAAGGTAGGGTGCAATCATACCCGTCGTGGCTTGGGGGTAGCCCCTCTACATCTTCTGGCTCTGAATCAATTAAGTCAAAGGTTGATGTATTAGCCTGACTTGGGTAACGAACTTGGCGGCGTTGCCCTTGGCGGTAGGACTGTGATTGCTGTACCATTTGTAATGGACGGCCTCGTCGCGATTGAATAAAATCAAACCGGTCCTGGTTCCGCTTTGTCCTATCATAGGTATTTGGCTGCCTTGGGCTTCGGTCTGGAATATACTGTAGCGTCATCTTCTCTTGGATATTGTCAATTAGAGCATGATACTCAAACAATATTTCCTCATCATTCATATAAGTTGAATCAATGATATCTGTAACAGAGTAGTGTTCAAATAGCTGTTCCCGTTCATCTTCTGGTGGTAGAAGACAAGCATAATTCCCCGTATTGTATCAGGGGTCATTTGATTGCGCTTATAATTACAGACAGCGCGGGCAGTACTAAAGACTTGCTCAACAAGAGCTTCTGAAGCAGGAATACAAAGTATATTCCGGGCCATAGCAGCAAGTCCAGGGAATAGTCTTTCGTTCTCTTTCCACCATTTTAATGGTGGCTGATGGGAGGGTGCTAATAAAAGTTAGTAGTGATTACTATAATTATTACTATAAACTTACGGAGGGCAAGGTATCGCTCAATCTCTCCTCCTTGATCTTCATTTTGACTAATGGAATTATAGCTCCGCTTCCGATTTAACATTAGAGCCATTGGGTCCTTGTCTAGTTCCATGTAGTTTGACTGGTGCTGCTTCGATCTTTCTTGGTTTGCATAATGTTGTGTGTATAACGCCCGGAATTCCTTCTCAAAATGCCCCCGCCAGTTTTTATTAGGATTCAACCAACAATAATCAGGGTTAAACACTTCCATCTTTAACCGTGGAGATAGAATAGCACCAAAAGCATAGAAGTTACCAATACCTGTACAAGATAAGCTATAATACTTATCAAGCTTTTGTACAGCTTTATCAATAGCTTTTAAGAGCTTTGGAATCCATGGATCTTGTAATGGTTTAAGCCGGCAGGTACACTCCTCAAGCCCTTCAAATAGCTCATCATATGCTGGGAGAACAAAGCCTAGTCGTGCACCACTTGCTATACCTATATTTGAAGTCCAGAAGCTAAACTGGCGAGTAACATCAATAAGGTAGGTGATATGTTTCCACTCTTCCGAAGTAATATGGAAGATAATAGCTGGAGTAAACTCAGTTGTAAACTTATTCACTGCTTCCTGGAGTAGGACCGCTCGTAGCATCATATGTAGTGTTGAATCCCACCGGGTTGACACATCTTGGATAAGTCGTAGGACTTTTGCTCCATCTTTAATGCATTGTCTTTGAATTCCCATAAATTGCTCTCTTCGCTGTGAGCTAGAATTCACAAAGACAGCTAGCTTCCAAAGCTAGTATAGTATTAGTTGTGATTACTATAATGATTACTATAAACATACCTTGGCAAGTGTCCATGGAAGGCCCTTTTCCTTACTTAGATCTTTGAGTTCGTCTACTGAATTGTCATCCCAGTCAATCTGTAGCTCTGAGTTTGATGGGTTTAATCGAATTGACCCAAGGAGAGCCTTCTGTGCAAGCTGAACAATATGTGCAAAGCATGGGATATGATGAATACGTCCGTCATGGTATCTTGTTGGCTCAGATGATAACTCAGCTATCATATCGTTGATAATTGCCATCATTGAAGTATTGTTATCAGTTGTAATGCAATGAACTCTACCATCTAGGTGATATTGAGATATAACACGCTGAACAATAGTTGCAAGGTCTTTCCCAGTATGGGCTCCATCGAGATACTCAAATCCAATTAGAGCTTCACGGTATTCCCATTTCTCAGTGATGAATGTAGCCATAATACCCATGAAGGAGTGTCTTGTTCCAGGGCTAGACCAATTGTCAAGGGATAATGCACATCTCGACCCAGGAGCAAGACCATGAAGGGCAATCTGTTGTGCATTACCTACCATAACATCAAGGCGTTGCCGTAGGGTTGTTGGTGAAGGAAGTGGATATTTCTGGTTCTGCCATAGTGCCATCTCCCTCCATATAGGATTCTCAACTGATCGGAATGATATGTTTAGGGATACCACAGTCTCAAGAACAAAACTGTAGAAAGCTTCCCTTGGATCCAATAAGCTCAGGATCTTCGCACAAGGCTCTTTGAAAGTCATAAATGCGATTAAAACGCGTCTTTAACTCGGGGCGGCGTTGTATAAATCGATATGCCCACCGCGTCCCAACGTGCTTTCCCCCACGCGATTCAAGGATATAATTTGCCATATCCTCCACACTAGCAGGCCGAGGCGCAAATCCTCTTGCATCCATATCCAATATATTTCGAATAATCACTTCCTCTTCTAGCTCAGTCAATTTATGACTATTGGCTTTGGTTTCGCGTCGAGAAGGTCGGCCGGCCATTCTATCAGTAAGCGTAGAATAAGGCACTTTATATAGTATTGATGCAGACCTGCGATTAAGCGATTTACATGTTTGAAGAGCCTCAATAGCTAGAATGATTCGCGCTTCTTGGGTTTGGATTTCCATTGGTAGTTGTGGAGGAAACGCGTGTTGAAGTTCGTAGGTAGCTAAGTAGGGAAAAGTTCACGACTCGGTGACATTCACGACTCGGTGTACAACCACGTTATATCATAATTATATTATTTCAAAGAAAATAAAACAACTGAATATTTCCTAGGAAATATATCTATCCTATACGTACCTCTCTATTTCGCTTGAATTTACTTAGTTATAATATCTTAAATTACTTATGGAGTATATTTTAATAGCAAGTTTCAGTAATATGGGTCTTTGAGAACAAGAGCCAATTATGGTAATATTTATAGTAAGCTATAGAACCATAGCATTAGAAGTAGTGGATTGAGCTACCTGGACTGTTCTAAAAGTATGACTAGATCTACATATTGTAGCATTTGGCAAGAAGCTCGTCTGATTCCTTAGTAGGAGGTAACATAGCCAACTTCTCGTCAGATGGCAAGACCCATTTGAAATCCACCAGCTCATCCTTCTCCCTCAGCATCTCCCAAGCCTTAAATGCACCAGTAGCATCTTCATCCAATTGAAATCCATGCTGAGTAGTGTCGTACCCATCAGGGTACCAATCAGCAGGTCCGGGAAGAGAAACCTGCCCATCCTCAAAGTTCCATGACGCGAAGTTCCTCCAGACAGCTAATTGAAGCTTCGTGAGATATAGGTGAGGAGGGATCTTCTCGTAGTAGATTCTGTACGTATGTGTTAGCTGATTACTATAGTGATTACTATAGTGACTCTTACCCAGTCTCCTCATCAATTGCTGGGGGAAGGTTCTTGAGGAAGTCGGGATCCGTATTGACTTTGTTCATGAGCTTCAGAGTTGACTTGTATGCCGTCGACCATTTGCGGCGCCAAATGGTGAAGGCAAGCTGCTCCACTCTCTGGGTCTATATTAGTATTAGTCCCCTAATAGTAGGGCTGATCATACCTTAGTTGAGGCTTCAGTCTGGGTCTCCACTTCCAGTTGGACCTTCTCAATCTCTTTAATCCCAATACCATTGGCCAACTCGTCAGCTCTCCACATAGCTTCCTGGGCAACTTCATCATCCTCATCTTCAGTTTCCCAGGCATGGTTGTTGTCGTCCCACACTGCGTACGCTCCTCCACCTTCTCCAATCCCAAGGTGTTGTTGAATGATAGAAGCATGGTTGCCGTCCTGAATGCTATTTCCTGGTTACTATAATGATTACTATACGTGAAGGGAGCTTACCGTCGGAGTCGCACCTCGTCCTTCTTAGACTGAACCTTCTCTTGTTGTTCAACTGGGCTAAGGGCTTTGAAAGCTTGTGTCTCTGGATTTTCTTGATAGCGTATGCAGTAGCTGCTTTATCAGCCCTCTTTGCATTGTCGACCTTGAGTTCTTGTTCCGTCATGTTGTTGCAGTGGTTCTGTACACGCTTGGTGTTCTCGTTGGTCGACTTCTCAGTTGATTCTTTGCGCTTTCTGACCATGGTGGGTGATGGGTGATTACTATAATGGTTACTATAAAGTAATTGATGGTAGGAGGGAGTAAAGATTTACCTTGGTGGTGGAGGGTGGGTGGGTGGACAGAAGAAGGCGACTGTGGTGGTAGAAGCTCGGAAATCCAGAAGAAGGAATGTGGTAGCAGAAGTAGGAAGCTCGGAATGGTGGCAGAAGCTCGGAAATCCAGAAGAAGGAAGCTCAGGGTGGTAGCAGAAGTAGGAAGCTCGGGGTGGTAGCAGAAGTAGGAAGCTCGGGGTGGTGGCAGAAGTAGGAAGTTTGGGGTGGTGGCAGAAGCTTAGGATTCCTATTGTTGTTGTGTATTGTTATGGTAGAATTCACTTAATACGCCTATTACGATATAATGGGTGAAGCTCAAGTATTTCGCCAAGCGAGCCAGCAGTTCACCCAGAACACAACACCCACCCAAATTTGGGTTTTCCTCCCTCAACCTCTCTGTTATTATCTGAGTTTGGAGTTATGCTTTATAAAATATAAAACCCAAAAACACTAGAAAATCAAAAAATTAAAGGGGAACCCTCTTGGGAGTTCTCTGAACCAAACAACAATTTTTTATGCAATTGAATGTTGTGACTTGTAACTCTGTAAAAGGTCTTGTGCATGTTCAAAGTTCGAAGCAGGTTCCCAGGTGTTTTCTAGTTCTGAAAACCCAAGCCATTTAACAAGGTATCTAGTTCGATTTCCAGTTCCTTTATGTCTTCGGATAGCTTCGACTTCCCATTGATGTTCTCCTTCTACCTCTACAGGTGAAGGTTCTTGAACCGAAGGTCGAATCGAATTAGGATGAACTTTCTCAAGGAGTGAGACATGGAACACATTGTGTATGTTCATAGTCGAAGGCAGCTCTAGCTTGTATGCATTCTTTGGGATTACTTGTAGGATCTTGAAGGGCCCAAGTTTCTTGTGGTCTAGTTTATCGAAGGTCGAGTTGTCTTAATATGCTTTCGAAGCAAGTATACAGAGTCTCCAGTTTCGGAGACAGGCGAAGCCAGCACCCTCCTATTAAAGGCAGATGCCTGAGAGTCTTGAGCTCTAAGCAACTCAGTTTTGAGGTACTTGTGTAGACTTTGAAGAAAGAGGTGATGTTCCGAAGCAGCAGGACTTCTCTCTGAAGTCAAACTCGAAGTGATCCAAAGGGGGTTATAGCCTGAATTAACGAAGAAGGGTGTTTCTCTAGTAGCAGCTGAAGTCGAATCATTGTAGGCAAATTCTGCAAAGCACAGAAGGTCTGCCCAGTTATTCTGAGGGTAATTAACATACATCCGAAGGTATTGTTCAAGGATCGAATTGAGTATCTCAGTCTGACCATCAGTCTGGGGATGGAATGCAGTAGAGAGTTTCTGTATTATCTGGAGCAGCTTTGCAAGTTCTCTGAAAGCCGAAGTGAAAAGCGAGCCTCTATCTGAGACTATATCAAAAGGTAAGCCATGAAGCTTAAATATGAATTCGAAGAAGATTCGAGCGAATTGCATAGCATCCATAGATTCATTGCAAGGAACAAAGTGTGCCATTTTTGAAAACCTGTCCACAAATACAATGATGGAGTCAAAGGTTTTCCCATAAAGCGAAGATGTCGAAGGTGTAGTTTGACAATTAAGTCTACTGAAATCGAAGTCCATGGTCTTAGTGGCACAGGTAGTGATTGAAGTTGTCCATAAGGTTTATGTCTTGCAGGCTTATTCAAGTTGCACTGTATGCAACTTCGAATATAGTCTTCGAGGTATTGCTGAAGCTTAGGCCAATAATAAACTCAAGTTATTGAAGCGAAGGTCTTTGCGAAGCCAAAATGTCCAGAGGCTGGATGATCATGATGTAGTCTTATGATCCGAAGTCGAAGGGGTTTGTCTTGTGGTATGTATAATAATCCATTGCATAATAGTAGGTTTGTTGAAGATAGCGAGTATGAGCGAAGCTGTGCAGGTTTACTGGAATCTAAGGCTCGAAGCGAAGCGATTGTGTTTCTAGCAAACACATCATGGGTTGAAGCAGACCGAATCTGGTCCTCGAGAGTGGGTTCACCTCCTACTGATGTCGAAGCAACCATTTGCTGAGGCTTTAGTAGAGGTGGGGATAGGGTCGAAGGTTCTGAAGCCATATAGTCTGATCTTCGAGAGAGAGCATCAGCTCGAGCATTCGAAGTACCAGACACATGCTTAATAACAAAATCATAAGAACTGAGTAGTTCTGACCACCTAGCTTGCCTAGGGTTTAACTTTTTCGAAGTTGTAAATGTTGTCAAGTTGCTGTGGTCTGTGAAGATGGTAATTCGGTGGTTCGCACCTTCGAGGTAGGGTCTCCATTCTCGAAGCGAAGCAACAATTGCAAGCATCTCCTTATCAAAGATTTCATAACTTCTCTCAGCAGGCTGTAAACTTCTAGAGAAGAAGGCAACAGGTTGAAGTTTTCCTTTCCCATTCTTCTGCAATAGGATTCCAGCTATTGCTCTGTCTGAGGAATCTGTTTCCAAAAATGCAGGTTGGTCTGGGTCAAAGTGTCAAAGTACTTGTCCTAGTTTGAACGAAGCTTTTAAATTGTTAAATGAGTCCTCTTGAAGTGATGTCCACTTGAAGGGCTCATTCTACCGAAGCAAGAGGTGAAGTCCCACAGCAAGTCCTGAGAAGTCATGAATAAATCTTCTATAGAAGTTGGCTAATCCTAGGAAGGATTGAATTTCCTTAACACTCGAAGGTTGAGGCCATGAAGCAATGGAGTCTGTTTTAGACTTGTCCATTGAGATGCCATCTGCTGATATGACAAAACCCAAGAAATCTGTTGAAGTGGTGTGGAATTCACACTTTTCAAGCTTAACATACAAGCTTGCCTTAGCTAGAGCATCTAGCACCTGGCATACATGATTCTTATGCTGAGCGTCGGAATCTGAAAAGACCAGAATGTCATCTAAGTAGACAACCACAGAGATGTCCAAAAATGAAGCAGGTGCATTGACAAGACCGAAGGGCATGACTTGGTATTCGAAGTGCCCATACCGAGTTCTGAATGCAGTTTTCCATTCATCTCCAGAAGTAATTCGAAGGAGGTTATAAGCTCCTCGAAGATCGAGTTTTGTAAATATCTTAGCTGTCCGAAGCCGATCGAGAAGTTCCCCAATTAGAGGTAAAGCATATCTGTTCTTTACAGTAATATCATTCAAGCCTCTGTAGTCTACACAAAGTCGAAGTGAACCATCTTTCTTCTTCACAAACAAGATGGGTGCCCCAGCTGGGCTAGTCGAAGGTCGAATGAAACCACTTAGAAGGCTCTCATTAATATATTCTCGAAGTACTCGAAGTTCAGGTTCTGAAAGACCATAGATTGGTCCAAATGGTGGCATGGTGTTTTCTGCTAAAGGTATTTCATGGTCATAGGGTTTATGAGCTGGCAGCTTCTTAGCCTTTTGCTCATCAAATAGGTCGAAGTACTGAAGGTAGACTTTGGGAATATCTATATTCATGTCTTTACTCGAAGTTGAAGGTGAACCAGTATTTGCTCCCTCAGCTGAGGCTAGAGCACTGTGTTCCGAAGGTGACAGCATAGTGTCCGAAGGTGACAGCATAGTGTCCAAAGTTGACAGCATAGTGTCCGAAGTTGACATCACTGTGTCCGAAGTCAAAGTTTGAGTACAATCTTTATACAAACTACCGTTTATGGTGTTCTGAGATTCTCGAAGTGGCATGTCAATGCCCGAAGGTTCTCGAAGTGGCATAGCAATGCCTGAAATTTCATCCTGAGCCATATCTAGAGCTGAGGATTCTGAAGTCAAGTTGTCTGAGATGTATATAGCAAAACATGCTTGAATGTCATGGGAGTTATAAGCTTTTTCAAATTCCAAAGCAGAGACTTTGGCAATGTTGATAGCCCTAGAACTCGAAGGTGAACTCGAAATTGATTTTGTGAAGCAGTTGTCCTTGCAGTATTCTGAATCTAATTTTAAGCCGAAGTTCTCCCAGTCTATGACTGGGGCATGTTTCCGAAGCCATGGCATCCCTAATATAATGGGGTATGTCATGGGAATTATGTCGAAGGCAAGTTTTTCTGAATGGGTTGCAGAGTTGCGAAGTGTCGAAGCTCAAATCTGAGTGTCTAATGTCGAAGTGGTGTGGCTAATGAAGCCCGAAGAGATGGGTGTTCCATCTATTAAAAATAGTTGTTGAGGTACTGCTTTCCGAAGCAGTCGGATGTTCTTTAAGGAAGCAAAGTCCTTACTCATAAAGTTACGAGTAGCTCCAGAGTCAATCATAGCTATGGTCCGAAGGGTGAAAGGCGAAGAGATGCGAAGTCCAAGGGATATAACAAAATGTTTAGATTGGTTGCCACCAATTGCTGTTTTCGAAGCAGACAAGGAGAGGCCAAGTAAGGTTCCACAGGTCGAAGGGTTGAACATATCCAAGTTTTGGTCAGTCGAAGCTTGGTGAGTTGTTAACCTTGGTGAGGGACTCAAACAGGGTTCTAGCTTTGCTGAGTCTCTTCGTTTTTCGAAGACCCAAGTTCATAGTCATAGGCATGGGAATCCTCAGTCTGGAGGAATTCTGAAGGGATTGAAGCAGAGACTGAGTTCTTCTGCCTAGCAAGGTTACATTGCTTGACTTGGTGGCCAGCTAGGTCACAATAGAGGCAAAGTCTATTTTCGAACCTATAAGTTCATTCTTCGAGAGTTAGCTTTCCTGAAGCTCTTTGAGAATTCGAAGTTGCTCTATTTGTTGTCCTAGGAGGTGGGTTGCTAGGCTTGTTGAAGGTAGATGTTTTTGAAGACATTGAAGCATCTAAGTCCATAGGTTCAGGAGTAAATCGAGGCTGAGGGGGAATGAAGGGTTGCGAAGCTCGACCGAAGTTGCGTTCGCGCCTTCGTTCGAAAAGTCAATTATCAATCTTAATGGATTTCTCAATGAGGTCATTCAAAGTTGAAGGCTTCTCATCTCTGGCAAGTTCATCCTTGAGGTTGTCTTTCAAACCATTATAATAAAAGAAGATTAGGGCCTCTTTGTCCCATTGAAGGTGAGAGACTATCCTTTGAAACTCAGTAGTGTAGAATGAAGCCGAAGTTGTTTGTCGAAGGGCTTTGAGTTGCCTCTCAGCAGTTGCAACTTCATCAATGTCACCTATCCAGAAGCATGTTCTGTGAGAATTCGAAGTTGAGGTTTGAACCAGTGAAAGGCTGAGTCACGAAGGAAAGAGGCTGCAAAGAAGATTTTATCTCTATCTGAAGAGAATTGCGAAGGTCGAAGTGTATAGTAGATATCCAGTTGGCTCAGGAACGAAGTCACTTTATTTCTAGTGCCAGAAAAGGTGTCAGGTTGATTAACCTTTGGTTCTGAAGGTCGAACTGTTGTAGGGGTTTCTGAAGAGGTGAAAGTGGTTTGCTGATGGGACTGTATTTCTTGAAGTGTGGCTCCCATAGTTTCCACCATACTCTGAAGCCTCAGAATTTCTTGCTCAGCAGCAGAGTATTGGGGTTGATTCTCTTGGTTCATGTTTCTGAAGGTGGGAGACGTCGAAGTTGAAGAAGATATAGAGTATGTGATTTGAAGCTGGAACTTTGAGCTAGCAAAGTGTAAGGACAGTTCGAACTGAGGCTGACCTTCAAGTCTGCAGAAGTATCCGAAGTATAATGTGAAGACTTCGATACTCGAAGCAGTAGGACAAGGTATAGTAGTTCAGGCTCCAAAGCATATACTTTATACCACAGGGGTCAAGTGGTGAGACTAACAGGTTGGCCAAGTGGTTCGACTCGAAGTAAGGGAATCCAAAGCAAGTCGAAGCAGGAGGAATTGCAAGAAGGCCAAGTAGTATATAATTTGCTAGCTAAAGACCAATAAGAGACATGAGCAATAAGTGCTTATATAACAGTAAAAATCCCTAGTGCCAAATAAGCGAAGGAACTAATTAACCGAACCCTAGCTAAGCGAGCCCTAGTGCAGCAAGCCAATAACAAGAGAGCCTAAGCCAGTAGTCAACATTTGGGCTGATCTAGGTTAGCAAGTGAAGCAAAGTGAAGCAAAGTGAGCGAAGTGAGCGAAGCAGATGAAGTGGATAACAGTGTGAAATAAGTACTAGAGACTAAAGCGAATCGAAGGGTCGTGACACAAATATCGAAGGAGTGTCATGACACCCGTGGCGCACACTATGGATGGCAACAAACTAATACATACCTCATGCTGTGCACATATATAGCGGGCATATCTCTGATATTTTAGTCGACTGTATCGAGATGCCTCTTGCTGCTCTATTGACTCGTACTCTGTCCGGATCAGCCTGTGGAGTTTCCACGAGCCCCCAACTATGCAGTCAGCGGACCAGGAACCCTCAGCCCCACAGTTGGCGGGCCCAGACCTTGCAGAGGATGCAGGTCTTGAAGTTGATGTATGTAGGGCCGAAACATCGCGACACTTATTCAATACTCCGTTTTGAGGTCATGCTAACCTTTTGCTCCTATAAAGTCTGAGGAGAACGATTCGGCATATGCGGAATCAACGTAAATGATATTCTCCATCGTGGTACACGCTGTACTGTACGAGCATTGCTAACTTGCTCGTTGCGCTTTAATTTAGATGCTCAAGCTTCATGACCTCTATTGCGTCAAGTGTTACTAGAGGCATATTCGAAAATGGTCGAAGATATCATTCGTATGGGGAATCCCGTATGCACCAATAAATATCCATTTCGAGAATCACCGATGGTCTGACTATGGCAAGAATACGCCTTTCCCAATGACGAACATGAGCTCGAGAGGTTAGATATGCAGCATACTATGCAAACCATGTTACTCAATGGCAAGCTGTTTTGGAGCCCGATTGGACCATCGCCGCAGAGAATACTCGACCTGGGTACCGGGACAGGTAACACAGCATATATGCAGTAACTGCAGAATGTGTTATGCTAACCTTTTGTGGAGGAATATGGGCTCTTGAGATGGCGGACCTGTACCCCTCCGTGGAGGTATAGACCAACCCGCTTTATGTCATCAAAAATGTACTAATATTGTCGAGGTGATTGGCACAGACCAGTGAAGTAAATAGTGCAAAATACCGTATACGATATTTTTTCAACCCTACACTAGGCCACTTCAGAAGTGCTGTAACACTGTAGCAAAATGTAGCAGCCCCACCTGTATTAGCCGTAATGAGAAGTAGACCCCTGACCAGTCCCAGCATCAAAATTGCCTGATTAGGAATGTCATACTGACATTTGTTGCACTCAGTTTGCTATCAAACTCAAGAGCAAACTTAGAAATCTCCTCCTCAAACCTACAAGTCACTATACATATTTTGGCTTGTCACACTAACAACAAGAGCAATACTACTCAACGATTGCTACAACCATCTATGATTCATTACACGTCATTGCTCCTTAGTTACTGGGCCGATATGACCACATAGCATATCTCTACAACCCTCTATGATTCATTACATGACATCACTCCTTAGTTACTGGGCTAATACTACACATGACATATCTCTATATGTCATGTGTAGTATTAGCCCAGTAACATGAACGATAGCTCCAAAAGCTTCTACAACCCTCTATGATTCATTACACGTAATCGCTCCTTAGTTACCCACAAGATTGGTTAAGTTATGACATAATTTGTCTATAGTGGTACTCTGACCTTGGACCTCCTTTCACTTCCTATAGGCTAGGAACCTAGGAGATGGTTCTATGGGATTCTCTTACGTCGACTACAGTTACCAAGCCTGGTTAGTCATGGAAAGTCAATGAGAGAACTACACTTAGGATTGCCCTTTCCTTAAGAAAGGGCAAGCAGACAATACAGTAAATCGACTATCACATACTTCCACATCTTTTCCAAGCTTCCAAGCATTGATCTTGTTACTCCTTGTTTCTGAAAAGTCAGTGAGGTGCTAATCTCTGACTTATCCCTGAGTTCTCAGACTCAACATTTGTTACAACTTGTCTAAACCACTCCACTACATCATACACCTGATTGCTGCATTTTGGAATAGTCTAAGCTATGACCCTTTGGCTCTGTTTTCTAAGACAGTGTGTTGTCTTAGTAAAATCATCCCTTCCTTGGGTGGCTAGATTCTCACATCTGGTGCACCCACCATTACAGGCCATTTCCAGGACAAATGCACCCTTAACGCTACTATCAAGGAAATGGACCGTAACGACCCTGAGGCCGAAGAACAATGGGAAGAAGCCATGGAACTTCAATCGGATGCGTCCCTCGAGGGGAGGCACCCAGTTCTTAGTCGACACGACCCTGAGTATGAATGGACTCGGGGTGCAAACGAAGTCCCTAGCAGACACAGGAGCAAATGGCTACCTCGTCATTAACAAGCCTTTCGCAATACGACTCTCGAAAGTGCTTCAGAGCCCCATACGGAAACTACCCTACTCTGTACCCATACGTGGATTTCAGCGCAAAATCCAAGGCCACGTATCGGAGTATATTCGGTTACACTTAACAGTCGAAGGACGCCGGATATATAACTGCCCTTTTGTACTCCTGGACCTCGGAGCACAAGATGTGATAATTGGGAAGAAGCTTTTCAGCTGCTTCCGAATACTACTCGACTCTGCAAAGAGCCGGTTAGTATGGCCAAAGGAGTACCCGCCGACTCCTAGCTGGAGCAAGGAGATCACCTTGCCCTAGCACTCAAGCGAAACGTCCATTAAACATCCTGCATACCAGTCGGATGCGAATCGCCAGGATTCTGCAATCCACCGCGAAGACAGACACTGTGCAGGCGGACGCTCGATGGAAATGAAAGTGATAACTTTCGACTATGAAGAGATCAGCGATACGCCATCGAACCCACTATGAAACCAGGAGGTTTCTCCCCACCGCACCTTCTGCCACAACCACAGAGCTTCTATCTTATAAGCTGGGTTCTTGAATTTCTGCGTTCCGTCCCTTATGCTGTTTCTCTTCCCACACCAACACTCCCCAACCGAACCCCCCCCCCCCCCCCCATCTCCCCCTCGCCCCCCAATACACTTCAATACACTTATATAGCCCACCCCTTCCTCACCCACAACACTCCAACACCAAACGAACAACAACAATGCAGCAACAGGGGGTTGGTTTGGATCCTGTCTCATCCACCCACACACCCTCTCATCTTCTCTCTGGCACTACACGCTTGCTTGCTCTTCTCAGCTATCTTCCCACCACCGCATGCAGGTTACCACCGCTCCTCTTGTAACCACCACCTGCTCCCACCCAACGGTAAGACTGCTCCCACCAACACCAACACATGACCCCTCCCGCACACCTTACTACTCATCCTACCAGGTTTCAGCAACCATATCAACAGAACAGGATCCACCTGTTACGGCTATGGTAACGTGACGTCATGGTTACAGGACCAGGGCCTAGTAACGTGACGTCATGGTTACAGGACCAGGGCCTAGTAATGTGACGTGTGAGTCACAGGGGGCAAGCGGGATAGGTGTGAGTCACAGGGGGCAAGCGGGATAGGCTGCCATGTGACGGGGCTAATGGATAGTTGCAGAAACTAGTGGATATTGGATAGTTGAGCTATCCAATATTCAGGATAGTTCGTGGATAGCTCAACTATGGATAGTTGCAGAAACTAGTGGATATTGGATAGTTGAGCTATCAGTTGAGCTATCCACAAACTATCCTGAATATCTAGCTATCCGCCAACTATCCAGATTACTGTTACGACGGAACAAGAAGGCTGGCCAACTACAGGACAGGAAGGAGGGAGGTCGCATGAGACCGGCCCTGGTACCTGGAGGGGCAGCGGGGAATAGTAGTTCCGAAAGTATCACGTGACGGACTCGCAGGATGATGAGAAGAATCCTAAGAGTCCAGGACTCCGAGGACTCGAGTGAGTTCCCAGGAGTCCACTAGGCACGTGACGGACTCGCAGGATGATGAGAAGAATCCTAAGAGTCCAGGACTCCGAGGACTCGAGTGAGTTCCCAGGAGTCCACTAGGCACGACGCCACTATATAAGTAGATAGTATTTCCTTAGATAGGAGCTTCGTGCTCAACTCAATACAGTATTTGTTATATACTAGTAACGTGTTACTTGAAGCCTTTGTGTCTGATCCCCTGCCTCCTCTGATAAGTAAACCTTTACGCAAGAGAACCTCTGTGTCTTCTATCGTTTAGAAGTCAGCGTTACAATTACCCATGAGGCACGACGCCACTATATAAGTAGATAGTATTTCCTTAGATAGGAGCTTCATGCTCAACTCAATATAGTATTCTTTACAATACTGTAACGTGTTACTTGGAAAGCCTTTGTGTCTAATCCCCTGCCTCCTCTGTGAAGTCAACCTTACGCAAGAAACCTCTGTGTCTTCTATCGTTTAGAAGTCAGCGTTACACCACACCCAAATATTGGATCCCACATATCGCCCTTACTGAGCTGGCATTATCCGGCTGGGATCTAATTTATGGAGATAGCAACACGTACCCGGGTTCTCGTCTCAATTTCCTATTCTAGTTACTATTGCTAGGCGCTATTTCTACTAGTGCTCCTATATGTAATGGTGGGTGCACCAGATGTGAGAATCCAGCCACCCAAGTAAGGGATGAATTTACTAAGACAACACACTGTCTTAGGAAACAGAGCCAAAGGGTTGTAGCTTAGACTATTCCACAACGCAGCAATCAGGTGTATGATGTAGTGAAGTGGTTCAGACATGTTGCAACAAATGTTGAGTCTGGGAACTCAGGGGTAAGGCAGAGGTTAACACCTCACTGACTTTTCAGAAACAAGGAGTAACAAGATGAATGCTTGGAAGCTTGGAAAAGACGTGGAAGTATGTGATAGTCGATTTACTGTATTGTCTGCTTGCCCTTTCTTAAGGAAAGGGCAATCCTATTTATGCTAAAGGAATGTAGTTCTCTCATTTTCCAAGACTTTCCATGACTTACCAGGCTTGGTAACTGTAGTCGACGTAAGAGAATCCCATAGAACCATCTCTTAGGTTTGTAGCCTATAGGAAGTAAAAGAAGGTCCAAGGTCAGAGTACCCCGATAGACAAATTATGTCATAGACAAATTATGTCATAGACAAATTATGTCACAGACAAATTATGTCATAACTTAACCAATCTTGTGGGTAACTAAAGAGCGATGACATGTAATGAATCATAGAGGTTCGTAAGAGCTTTTAGAGCTATCGTTCATGGTCCTAGGCCTCTAGTTGGTAGAGATATGTCATGTGGTAGTATGAGTGATGTCATGTAATGAATCATAGAGGGTTGTAGAGATATGCTATGTGGTAATATTGGCCCAGTAACTAAGGAGCGATGACGTGTAATGAATCATAGATGGTTGTAGCAATCGTTGAGTAGTATTGCTCTTGTTGTTGGTGTGATAAGCCAAAATATGTATAGTGACTTGTAGGTTTGAGGAGGAGATTTCCAAGTTTGCTCTTGAGTTTGATAGCAAACTGAGTGCAACGAATGTCAGATTATTTCAAGGGCAAAAGATCTATATACCCAATGCTAACTATCAATAGATTCTGCCGCATTTAGTCAGCATTGCTGGCCCCATGCCTCACTGTAGCCAACCATGTTTCCCACCTATAGGTCCCACAGCGGAGGCCAAAAAAGGAAAGGTTCTAGAAAGAGGACCCACGGAGGAGAGTTGGGGGGGAGAGGGAGCTTCTGGTGTTGGGCGCTGCTCTACCTGTGGGGAGCAGGGCCACAATATGAGAAGCTGCTGGTGCCTGCATGAGTAGGGCGCTTTCACAAGTATGGTGAGAGCAAGGTCAGTGGAGCAGCGGTGTCAAATGGGACATCAGGGTCAATGGAGTCACTGAGAAAACTGAAGGCGGCAGCAGGGTATATAAATCTTTTATTAAAGCTCAGGGTATATGAATCTTTACAGGGGTGGTGCAGGGTATATAGATCTTTTGCCCTTATTTCAAAGACTAGAAATAGGCTTTTAAAAGACGTTTTTAGAGTAATAGCTTGTTTAAAGAGTTGGGATTTTATAAAGGAAGAAGAGGATCTAGAAGAGGAATTTATAGCTAAATTAATACTTTAAGTAGTATTTAGATAGATTAATATATATCTAGTTTCCTTTTCTACTAACGTACATGTATAACGAACCGGCCAAACAAGCGAACCGGCCAAAATATCGCGACCACAATACAGGAATTGCGATAAATCCACCACAACACTAGAAATCAATTGAAACTACTCGGAGTCCTCTTCCTCAGATGTGTCTATTACAATCTGACAAGTGCGCGCATTATGTCCAGTCCCACCACACTTGCTACAGCGACGTGCGCGGGTTTCTTCCCTTGGCTTCCGACCACTACTCTCCCTTATTTCTTGCTCCACTTGCTGTACAACATCCCTCTCGTCCTGTAGCTCCTGTGCTACTTGTTGACTAAGTGATCCTCCTTGCTGTAATCGTGTTTTTTTAGCTCTCCGGCGCTTGCTTAGCACTTCATTTGCCTGTCGCAGGTTTTGGTTCTCCGCCTTCAACAATGCTAATTGATGCATTATTTGCGATGTACCCTTTGTAAACTGGTCAACAGCTGTATAGATTGAGGTTGGAGAGCTATTTTGATGATGCGCAATTCGGTTTTTAATGAAGGTAGACTGTGATGAGGCTTCAATTGGGTTGTTTGGTGTTTGGGAAACCCAAGGTTGAGCAGTACCCGGGCGGGAGCTTGGAGGCGTTGGTGTCTTTAACTTAAGATCAAGTGTAGAGATCACACTCTCAGGGTCGAATGGGAGAAGTCCAGCACCCCGGAAGCCTCCTTGAATGTTGCTTTCTGTCATTGCAATGTTAAATGCAGCATAGAAGGCAGGAAAGAAGTCATCCTTAGTAATATGAGAAATATGAGCCCGCATCATATCTTCAATTTGCCGACCATAAGCCCTTTTTAATGGGCTAAAACAGCCAACATCAAGTGGTTGGAGTATATGGGAAGAGTGAGCAGGCATACAAAGCGTAATAATGTTGTGTTCTTTGCAGTACTCCTCAAACTTGTCTGAGTGGTGGCTCTCATGACCATCAAGGATTAACAAGCGATAACCACCAACACTCCGGGGCTTTGTGTGCTTCTCAAAATGCTGAATCCAATCCATACCTCTCTCGTTTGTAGTCCAGCCATTTTCAGTAACAGCAATTACCCAATCGCTTGGAAATCCACTATTCTCATACCAAGATGCAAGGTGGTTTTTGCCTGCAACAATGACGAATGGCGGCACTGCCCAACCCTGAGAACTAACGCCTTGGATTACTGTAACCCATTCCCGATTGCCAGGCTGTACCTTCTTTGCTTTTGCCCGCCCGTCTGAGCTTGTTACAACAGTAGCAGTTGAGATAACACCCATCATAAACCCAGTCTCATCAAAGTTGTAGATATCTGCTTCATGGATACCATATTTCGCAATTGTGTTACGCACAAGCTCAAACCAGCCACGTATAAGTTCTGGATCTTCACACTTAGCCCTCTGGTAGTCGTATTTGCGCTGGAAGCGTGTCCGGAGCTCTACACGCCGCTTAACAAAGTTTGAAGCCCAACGCGACCCAACGCGTGGCGCGTCGCGTGTTTCAAGTAGTCGATTTGCCATATCTGCAACAATAGACAACTGAGGAGGAAACCCTTTGGTAGCTAGGTCGAGTATATATTGAACAAGGACTGATTCCTCTAAGTTAGTTAATTTCCGTAAGTTGGCTTGAATATCGCGTCGTGAAGGTATGCCTAATAAACGACGGCCTAGCTTGCGGTGGTCAACAGAATAGATCTTAGCAGCAACTTGAGGACGTAACTTTGGGTCGCTTTGTATAGCTTGGATAGCTAGAATCAACTGGCTTTCATCATTTTTCTGGGGCATGTTTTGTTGTTGAGTAATTTAGCATTTAGTTGGGGGGTATTGTGGTCGCGATATTTTGGCCGGTTCGCTTGTTTGGCCGGTTCGTTATACATGTACGTTAACTTATACTAGATAATTATTTAGGCTACATGATTATAACATCACGTGATAATCATGACTAGTTATAATCTGTTGGAGGAAGGACCGAAATATTGCGACCGCGCGGCAAATCGTGCAGTGTGTTTGGTGACCGGACCTTCGGGCTTTTGCGCAACGGGCAGGAAAACTCGACAGTAGACTACAGTATATAGAATGAATATAAATTAAATTGAATTTCTACATTACCTACGGAGCCTACGTATTATTTATGTCATTCGGAGGGCCTACCCAAACGCCCTGAGTAACAGAAGTGTTTGGGCCTGAAACCCAATGCGTCGGAGTTCCGAGGCAATCTGCTCACGCCAAACGCCAATTGGGGAGCCCGACGATTGCACTGGGAAAAGCTGCCATTCTCTTTTCCTCAACATAATCATGACTAGTTATAATTATCAAAAACTCATAAGTTAACATAGTTGTATACTAAGTTGGTTATGACACTACGTTAATTACTTTTCCCTACCCTACTCCCTTTTGACTTTAACATGCGTTTTCTCTATAACTATAAATAGAAATTCAAACCTAAGAAGCCTGAATCGTTATTTGTTCATTAAAAAAACTTAGTTGTTGCTCTACTGCTAAAATCTACAAAGTCCTATATATGACACTATCTTCTTGATAGCTAGAACGATTCGCGCTTCTTGGGTTTGATTTCAAAAGGTAGTGGGGTGGGGAAAAGTGATCAACTCGGTGTTCAACCACGTTAGTCATGATTATTATGATTATTTGTGCTAACCCTGCTCTTCTTCATTAATCCCTCTCGCCCTCTGGTATCGTTGAAAAACCCCACAGCTCCCCACAGCTTGCTTATCTGTCCCGTTCCCTGCACTCATATCTAAGATCGCCAACATGATCGCTTTCAAGGCTCCCGAAAAGGATATTCTTGCTACGGCTCCTACGGTTTGTTCGAGGAAACACACTTGTAAATTAGACTGACGAGCTAATAAAATCGCAGCTGCCGTACAAGCAATTCCTCCTCTTTGGCGACTCCATCACCCAGGGCGCCTTTGATCAGACTAAAGGGTTTGCTCTAGGCGCTCAGTTGGCTCATGGTACGCTCCCATGATCTAGTCATGCGTGGGAGCAAACTTAGACGCTCGAGTAGACGTTACTTCCATCAGCCCAGCTGACCCTGCCCTACAGATTATATGCGCCGCCTAGACGTTGTGGACCGCGGCCTTAGGTATGTCTCCTAATCACTAGACGATCCTTTGCCAACACCTCCAGTGGATACAACACCGACCAGGCCCTCGCCATAATCGAATACATCTTCCCTCCTCCAACCACCGCCAAAATCGACTACATGGTATATCTCCCGCCTTCCCTCCCAACCCCCACTAACCCCTCAACAGACCCTCTTCTTCGGTGCCAACGACTCCTGCCACATCGGCGGCGTCAGCCACCAACACGTCCCCCTCCAAACCTACCGCGAGAACCTCCTCGCTATCCTCTCCCACCCGCTCCTCCTCGCGCACAACCCACGCATCATCATTATCACCACCCCGCCCGTGGATGAGTATCAACTCGCCGAGGAGACCCGCTCAGATGGGCGTGTTGACCGCAGTCGCAGCGCCGAGAATGCCCGGGCATACGCTGAAGCTGGGAAGGCCGTCGGGGAGGCGCTGAGAGCAGAAGGACGGGAAGTTGTCGTTTGTGACCTGTGGAGCGCGTTGATGGCGCGGACAGGGTGGAGCGGCGAGGGCGTGCTCCCGGGCAGTTTGAAGACGGATAAGAATCCTGCCTTTGCTGAGTTGCTCTCCGATGGTATGTATAATTTCTTCCTTCCTGCCCATACCGTCATCCCATCGGAACATCAACTTCAACACCATCATCCCAATCCCCACCGCTAACACCCTCCTGAAAGGCCTCCACTTCAACCCCCCCGCCTATCGGGTCCTTTATGATGAGCTTCGCCAGACCCTGGAACAGACCTGGCCAGACAGCCACCCAGAGCGCCTGGAGAAGCATTTTCCAGATTGGAACTCCTGGTTTTAGGGTTTTGCGGTTGACCGGCCGGAATGTGAGCAACGACTTGAGCAGGTTTCGCGACGCGAACAGCGAGAGCAGCACGCGCATGTGGTGACGGTTCGAGAGGGAGGCTTTCGTGAGTGCGGCGAGAGGCGGAGAGGCGCGTAGGACGGCGCGCGGTGTGGTGATGGCGACGGGGAGGGCGGGGACGCGTAGCTGGCTAAATTTTGGGGCCATGATTGGGCATCTCTTGTTCGTGGTGGCGGCGATGGGATTCGCGTTGTTAACCCCAGGTCGTGATGGGGAGTAACCTAAATAGACAGAAAATAGACACCAATTAGACGCGTTGAGCTTCGCGTCGAACTCTGGACTCGGTGACGCTATGCCCCTTTCAGCGACGGAACCGCATTGTTCAAAGCACTCTAACGGAAATGAAGGCTGGAGAGGTTCCCCATATATCTCGCGGGAGTTGCTTGATTTAGTCGTAGCCTCGTCTGCACGATTCAGTGACACTTGTTGGCATTTGTTAACAGTTGAGAGGAAAGGCATTTCAAATACAGCGTCTGCCGAGGCATTGACGATGGACTAGTCCACATCGGATTTAGCGCAGTCCGCAAGCGGGCCTGGGTACAGAGAGAGCATTCACATGCCAGAATTGTGTGGCAGGGTCCCACAAAGCATAAATATCAAATTTCTATTTATGAAACTCATCCTGGGCCAATAAGAAGCCTGCTATTTCACTCGAGTTCACTTTTGTGCAGCCCACAAGCTAATTCTGATCACATGACGAAGGAGCTGTGAACACAACGACATAATATGTCATGTGATGGAACCAGAATCCGGGGACGGCAAAACTTAAATGCTGGGGGGAATCCCTGTATTAAAACTCCGCATTGTGGGGTCATGAGAGCATGTGAAAGCCACACCAGCGCTGACGATTACCTTGTGTTTCCGCCGAGGCCCTCTATATGAATAAACCCCGTTCCTAACGGCTCCTTTTTTCCTTCCTCCTCTTACTATACCGCTATCTGTTCTCTAATAGACTTTCCTTCATTTTGGGAAAGATTTTTTTATAGCGATTACACCCCACACAACGACACAATGTCGAAAACTTTCACCACCGCCGATGTTGCGGCGCATAACTCGCCTAGCGACCTGTTCATCATCGTCGACGAGGATGTTTACGACCTGACCAAGTTCCAGGATGACCACCCAGGTGGAAAGAAGATCCTCAGCAGGGTTGCCGGAAAGGACGCCTCAAAACACTTCTGGAAGTATCACAATGGTATGATGACCCAGCTCACCTCTTCACCATCGCGCAAATACTGACGAATAACAGCCGGTATTCTCAAGAAGTACAAGGCCAAGCTCCAGGTTGGATCGTTGGATACCAAGAAGGCCGAAGCACCCCCACCACCTCCTCCAGCACCGGCAGCAGCTGCTAAGCCGGTTGCCACATCCGCTCCCCTAGTTAAGGTCGACAAGTCGCAATTCGAGCCGTTGGAGGAGTTCGGCGACATGATCCCATACGCTGACCCATCGTGGTACCAAACTGTACGTACTTGCGCTCACCCATCACATGCCCCGAACAACACACTAACAGAATCTACAGTATCACTCCCCATACCACAATGAGACCCACGTTGCTCTTCGCGCCGAGATCCGCGCCTTCGTTGAGGAGAAGATTGAGCCATTCGTGACTGAATGGGACGAGGCCAAGGAGGTCCCCGAAGCCATCTACAAGGAGATGGGCACTCGCGGATACCTGGCCGGCCTCATGGGTTCGGACAACTTCCCCACCGAATACACCAACAACCGCGTCGCCTCCGTGGCCCCTGAGCAGTGGGATCTCTTCCACGAGCTGATCGTCACGGACGAGCTGTCTCGCGCCGCCTCGGGAGGTTTCGTCTGGAATGTCATTGGAGGTTTCGGTATCGGCTGCCCACCTATCATGCACTTCGGCTCAGACGCCCTGAAGAAGCGCATTCTCCCTGGCATCCTCAACGGTGACAAGCGCGTCTGCCTCGCCATCACCGAACCCGACGCAGGATCCGACGTTGCGAGCTTAGGCTGCGAGGCCAAGCTCTCCGAGGATGGCAAGCACTACATCGTTAACGGTGAGAAGAAGTGGATCACCAACGGTATCTGGTCCGACTACTTCACCGTTGCCGTCCGCACCGGCAAGCCCGGCATGAACGGACTCAGCGTGCTGCTCATTGAGCGCGAGGCTGGCGGCGTCACGACGCGCCGCATGGACTGCCAGGGTGTGTGGTCCTCGGGAACCACCTACATCAACTTCGAGGACGTCAAGGTCCCCGTTGAGAACCTGATCGGCAAGGAGAACCAGGGCTTCAAGGTCATCATGACCAACTTCAACCACGAGCGCATCGGCATCATCATCCAGTGCATCCGCTTCTCGCGTGTCTGCTACTCCGAGTGCGTCTCGTACGCCCACAAGCGCCGCACCTTCGGCGTGCCCCTCATCAAGCACCCCGTCATCCGCCTCAAGCTCGCGCACATGGCCCGCCAGATCGAGGCCTCGTACGCGTGGCTGGAGAACCTCATCTTCCAGTGCCAGCGCATGGACCAGACCGAGGCCATGCTCAAGCTCGGTGGCGCCATCGCCAGTCTCAAGGCCCAGAGCACCGTCACCTTTGAGTACTGCGCCCGCGAGGCCAGTCAGATCTTCGGTGGTCTGTCGTACAGCCGTGGTGGCCAGGGCGGCAAGATCGAGCGTCTGTACCGTGATGTTCGCGCGTACGCCATCCCAGGTGGTAGCGAGGAGATCATGTTGGATCTGAGCATCAGGCAGGCACTGAAGGTGCATGAGATGCTGGGGATGAAGTTGTAGACTGGTTAGAGTTTGTTAGGGGCAGTGGGAGGTTCTGGTGATACCCGGATTAAAAGGCGAGAGGGTATCTGTAATTGTATGCATTGATGTGTATGTATGTGGGCAGGTTTATAATCTTAGTATCTAAACGACATTACTATCTTGTATTACATTTCATGTGTTAGTGCCGTGTTGTCCCGTGATCGTTCTGGCTGGTCTCCAACGGGGTGTCTCTCAGCGACCTTGGCGGTATGAGCACAACGTCATGTCATTATGGGGAGTTTGGTGTGATCCGTAGGGACTCTGCTCCGTGTTCTAAAAGCCTGTTCGAAGCCTGTGTTCGAAATCAATGTTATGGAGGTGTCCACGTGATCCCATATCACTTTCTCTCAGCTTCAACGCAGTTTCCACTGAAGCGATGCCCATGCCCTTATTCGTGTTGGGGACACGCACTAAGCGCCAACTAAATACATTAGAGGACATTAGAGGAGGCTCAGCCTCCTCTAATGTCCTCAGTTCACAAGATAGTGGTGGATCGTAGCTCAGCCTCGCTGCCCACGACGACTCGGTGATCATCTTTCTTGATCTTGGCTACCGTGGGCGCAGATATGGAACTGCCCAGCTTTGGGCAATTAGCGCCAAGCGAGCGTTTATGGAAGTCGCCACCGCACATCTTTTCTTCCCACAGCGAGTCCAGTTTCCTGTCACCGACACTCACGGATCTTCTCCAGACGTCAATCGATCAACATCGTATCACTAATCGACTCTGCAAAAGAATATAACAACCACGCATTTACTAAAACTCATCTTCTTCTCTTTCTTCTCTTCATAGACAACCCTTTCTTCTAACCCGTCTCGGCCGGCGAATGTCCACCCTATCTCTTGGCCTTCTTGGCTACTCTCCGTGAGACCAATTACTCCAATTACTCCCACCAACGGCACGTATCCACTCGCTATTCCTGCACACTCATCATCAAACGTCAACCCCATCCCCTTACTCCAGTACGTGCACAATGCTCCCATGGTTCATCTTGTGCCTCTGGGCACCGCAAATGTGCTGCCCATACAAGGCCGTATCGCTATTTGCGATGCCCTACCCATACGCGGCACAACCACCAGCCCAGCAATGCCGCGGCGCCTTGGCGATCGAAGGGTGTGTTTGTGTCGTCGTCGTCAGTCGTCAGGTTTGGACTTGGACCTCTCTCTCTTACTCTCTGTTACTTCATATTGCTATACCAACGTCATCTCACCATCTCTCGCTCGTTCCTGTCTTTCCCTGTGTTTTCCCATTCCTTTATGCCCCGTCTCCTGTGGGCTCTTGCTCCTGCGACTACGTGAACTCGCTCGGTGTACGATATCTTTCCGACATTTACCCCAAGTCTGTACTGTGACGACAATGCTGTGTTGATCGAAGCTGCCTGCGAACTCGAATCTTCCGACCCATACGGCCTCGATCTTTCTGTACCTTTTAGCTCTTCTGAACATATATACTCGCGCATCCGCCCATCATGAGATTATGGAGCGTCGCGCGCTTTGCGGCAGCAGCTTGCCTTGGTGGCGCTCAACTGGCCGCTGCCATCGAATTTGACCCCGCCTCTCCTGGTACTGCTCTTTGCTACGTCTCCGATATCTTGCGCAGTGCTAACGGTCCTTCCAGCTTCCATCAAATCTGCCACGGGCGAGGTGGCAAAGAAGTTGATGTCATTCTACACCGGTAACAAGCCCGGCGACACACCAGGCTACCTGCCGGATCCATACTACTGGTGGGAAGCAGGAGCTATGTTCGGAGCCATGATAGACTACTGGTACTACACAAACGACACGACCTATAACGACATTGTCGAGCAAGCCTTGGTGCACCAGGCCGGCGACGACCGCAACTACATGCCCATCAACGCATCCAAATCTATGGGTAACGACGATCAAGGTTTCTGGGGTATGACAGCTATGATGGCCGCTGAGCGCAACTTTCAGAACCCCCCCAAGGACCAGCCGCAGTGGCTCGCGCTAGCACAAGCCGTCTTTAGCTTGCAGTCGGGTCGCTGGGACACGGAAACGTGCGGCGGCGGCCTGAAGTGGCAGGTCTATGTCTTCAACAAGGGGTACGACTATAAGAACTCTATCAGCAACGGTGCCATGTTCAACATTGCGAGCAGGCTCGCGGTCTACACCGGCAACTCGACATATGCGGAGTGGGCGGAGAAGACGTGGGATTGGGTCGAGTCGATCGGTCTCATCAACGACAAGGGAGACGTGTTTGATGGTAGCAGCGATCTCTTGAATTGCACAGAGCTAGATCACACCCAGTGGTCCTATAACGCAGGCATCTGGCTGCACGGCGCTGCGAATATGTATAAATTTGTATGTTCTGCCTCATCCCCATCCGTTTCCAACGAACATCCCCGCTAACACATACACGCAGACCAACAACTCCGAGAAGTGGCTCGAGCGCTCTACTCGCATCCTCAACAAGGCAAGCACCCAGTTCTTCTGGAAAGACACAGGTATCATGTACGAGCCTTGTGAGGCCACTCCAGGCGAGCCCCTCTGCAACATCGATCAGATGTCCTTCAAGGCCTACCTCTCCCGCTGGCTTGGCGCCACCTCCCGCCTCATTCCCAGCCTCGCCCCAAAAATCATGGGTCTCCTCCAATCGTCCGCCGTCGCCGCTGCCAATCAATGCATACCTGGGCCTGTCGGGGCCGAATGCGGCCTGCGCTGGTATGAGGGTGCCACGGACGGCCGTGAGGGAGTCGGCCAGCAGATGGGTGCCATGGATGTCATGGGTGCGCTGCTGGTGACTGGTGCAAGGGACCTAGTTACTAACAAGACGGGTGGCACATCGTTAGGTGATTATGGTGACTCGGTGGATACTGCGGCCAAGGTTCGAGGGTCGATCGAGGTGACAACTGCGGGGAGAGCGGCGGCTGGTATGCTGACGGCAGGCATGTGTGCTCTCGTTGGTGTAGCGGTGTGGTTCATGGTTGGGTCTGATGGGTGGGTTGCATAGATTTGATAAGAGGGCATCGGGTTTATATGCATACTGGTATTGCCAGTGGGTTGGTTATTGTAAGTGCTGTTGGATATCATACCATGTTTTGGATGAAAGAGTTCATGTGCGGATTGCATAGGGTTACTTGTAGAAACTAAGAAGAGAAATACGAATCAAAAGATAACATGAATGGAATTACGGGCACTGAATATGGTGATGTGGAATCAAAATTGTTTTCTCCTGTGGGGACTAATATGCTAGATATTGTTCTCGAAACTATCTACCGTGAACTCATCGCAACTTACCACTCTCAATGGCCTATAAAATCAACAACCAAGTCAATACCTTCATTCGTCCCTCGTCCACCTACAACTTCGGTCCTTCGGCCTAAGTCATGCGCAATCCCCACCCCGCGAATGTCCCCATATACATCGCTTGCATGACACTCTTGATCGGCGTCGTATAGTCTCCGGCCGCATATACCCCCTTGACAGTCGTGGCCCCAAATGGCGGCGCCACCTTGATATCCCCTCCAGGCGCCAGCTCCACTTCCAACTGCTGCGCAAACTTCACATCCATAGCCAAAAACTTGACAACCACCATAGCAACGATGCCCCTCGTAGAGCCGTGTCCTGCTGGTATCATGTCCAACATTCGATTTTCAACGTGAGTATGCCTTCTCTTGAGTTTCGTAGCTAACAAATTAGATGCTGGGATGGGGTACATCTTGACAGCACAGACCATACTTCGCATGTCGCCTACCCGTCTAGTGGTACATTCGAGAGCAACGGCCCTTGCCCAGCTTCACACCCCGTCAAGCTCCCACAGCTCTTCTACGAGGTCATCTGGGACACGACGCCCTACAACGACAGATCCCTTTGGCCTGATGATGGCAGCCAGCTTTTCATCTGGAGTTTTGGCGACCCGACAGTCTACGGGACACATGGCGATTACGTCTTTGGCTGGAAGGATACGTCGCTGCAACAGGCTATGGATACTAACTGCCAGCCCGGGCCCTGCGCCGTGCTCTCGGAGCAGTCGATCACCGCGGCGGACGCCTGCTCAAAGTCTCGCACTGTCAACGAGGAGGTGGACGGATGTACGTGTGCCGATGCCCTGTTTGTTCGCGCTGACTGTATAGGGCTCGACAAGTTGCCGGGTGATAATTGCGTGCCTATTCTAAGCCAGTGGTAATAAGCTGATTAGTTAGATATAGATGTCTTACGATTTTGCGAATAGCAGTATAATCCCGACGACGAGAAGGCGCTGTGTTTACCACTACCTTACCACCCGAAAGACTCCTCGATATACTCCACCCCTCTCATCCCGCTCTTTAACGCCACATGCACCGCGCCCCTTGCTTCATCCGCCATCCCAGCCGGGCCACAAACAAGCACCGCGATCCGCCCGCCTTGGCTCCCTGCCTCCCTAACCTCCTGAATGACTTCTAGCACCTTGCCTCTGATATCCGGTCTACTGTAATCAACACGCACCTCCACTGCCAAATCATCCCTTACTTCCTTAGCCGTATCATTTACGTTTCCACCCACACGACCAAACTTGCGATTCGAGGTAGCATGGAATGAGACTTTAATATCCTCTCGTTTTAACACCGCTGCTAACTCCCTCGCCGCCAAGTCATGGAGCATAGCCGCTTGCTTGGCAGCCCAGACGAGAGTGATGCTATGCGTAACCGTTGTGCCTTGTGCCAAACGAGCAATATGCTCATTAAGATACGGCAGAGCACCAGCAATGCCCGTTCCACCCGCGAGAAGGACGATGTTCTCAAAGTGATGCAAGGGCGTGGTCTCGCCGTAAGGGCCTTCTAGGAGTACGCGAGTTTCGAGCGGCCCGGAGGGGTTTTTGATGCATTCGTCACGGAGGCGTTTGGTCCAACCTGTGGAGGGGCGGATATAGAAGAGAAATTTGTAGCGGCCTTGAGGCTGCGATTGGGCGGAATTAGTTAACACGGATTCAGAGTTGGAGGAGGAATCTAATGATGCGCTTGCTGGCAAGAAGTCGTCATCAGTACTTGTTTTAGTCGTTGGCAAAAATTCGATATTTGAAATATTTGGTTTATCGCATTCAATTGTTTCCCAGCCAGCCAGAGTGAAAGGATGATTCTCCCACCCTCTCCATTTTAGTGGTTGGTAAAGGTAGTAATGCTGATTTGGTTTCGGCTTGAGGCTCTCCGAGCCCGGGACGACTTCGAGTCTAATCAAATCGGCCTCTTTGCTATATGTTGCTGTGGACATGGTGCGGAAGATATCCAGAGATCGACTGACATGGATATTGCAGTATACTTGTCGGACGATCCTGACAAGCCGGTCAAGTACCCATATCGCTACTAGAGGCCATAAGTAACCATCGTAAGCTTTATCTAAAATCTTAGTATGGCTAGGAGCAGTCAGCATGGTGCATCTCATCGAGGTGGCCTTCATACTAAAACAAACCCACGATTGTGGCGACAGAGAGACAGATGTGGATGATAAGGAAGACCTCGTAGCACATTTGGCGTATGAATATTGAGGAGAAAGCCAGCAGGAGACTCATGGTTACAGTGGCCTATGCTTTTATTAGCTTGGCTCTCCAGATCAACGAACCAGGATAAATAAAACTCGCCATGCCACCCATAAACCAATACTCCTTTGTCCACGACTTTTTTAGTGACCCAGCTTGAAATATTATCAGCACTGTAGTATTAAACAATGAATCGATAGCATACAATTAGCTTGAAGAATCGAATACGCCACAGAGTGAACAATTGCCTGTATCGTTGCAATCCTCGCAATATGTCGGTGAAAGATGTTGAACGTCGAGAAGCTCCAACCGGTTGCCCAGAGGAAGACGTTGTTTCGCCCGGAGAACATCCATAATACAGGGAGATTCGCATAAGCGATTGTTCCAGTACGGTCTGCGATATAACGCTGAAGCTGCCCCGAGTAAGAGTAGCTGTGAATGAGTCAGTGATTGCTCATCTCCAAATGACAGGTAAACTTACTAAAGATTCGGGGTGAAGATTTCATATGAGACAGCACATAGGATGAAACTGACAACATAGTATGCTATAACTATTACAAATTCTATCCTTGTCGGAATCGTGCACTGCCAAAAGAGTCGTTGGTGGTAAGAGTTAAAGGCCGCAGGAATAATCAAATTGGCCCTGAACCAGTAATACTTTTCGGCTAAGAATGACGCAAGTTTGGAACGCGGGGCCACGGATGAATGGGGAAGTGTGGTATTCTCAATATCGCGTGACTTTCGTCCTGTGCGAGATTCGACGACAAAAGATAAAAAGCGGCTGGTCATCCCTAGGAGGAGGAGGCCGCCCCAGAATCCATACGCGGACCAACTGCGTTGAAGTCAGTTTCTGAGATCTACTACCTAGGATGATTGACATACCCATATCTTGTGTGGGTAGCATATTGATTGTTGAAGGCAGACTATGTATGTTTAATAATCTCGTGGGAACAAATGCGGATCATGGGAACATACGATGGTCCTCTTCGAAGTCTCCCATAGAGGTTTAGAGATGACTATAGTCTCGTTCCAAAGTTTTGCTTTAGCAATATCTTCATACTCAACTACTTTCAGGTTTTTCATATACTCATCAGTGAAGTTCCTCTCTGTCTCAGCGTAGGAGGCAAGTTCGAACCCGGCATATTGGAGGCAATAATCGCTGAACGAGCGGCTTCCAGCTTCGATCTCAAGAGGCGTACAGTATGTTTTTGCGGCGGCCCATATTGAGAGAGTTGTTAAGTTCCCAGCGCAAATATTTACATAGTACGATGAGGCATCGGCAAATGTGAACAAGGTGACAGCAGTCCGGATGCCATCAACACAGAGAGTACGTGAGGGACTCTGATCGTCCCCTGCCACACCGTAGGAAAGTAGTGCACCGAGAAGTAGAAGAAATATCTTCATCTTGCAGAGTCGAATAATGTTTTAAGGCCGAAGAGTAAACGTGGAGTCCATGTGTTCGAAAAGGGCAATTATACTGTATACAGGAAGAAGTGTGCATGTATTAAAGGAAATTTCATGCTGATCAGGATCACTAGTGTCTATAGGAAAACAGAAACTGAAAAGAGTAAACATAAAATCTCGACCATATCAGAGCTGGAATGGAAGGATGAGAAACGAAAACCGCACAGACCTAACTCGCAGACCATGTCCACTATTAATGCCAAGCCTGGGCACCGCTACAGTAAAAACAAATTACTTCCGGTACCGGACGCCACCTTGTCGGCTCTTATATTTTGACTAGCAAAGGGATCCTGGGGAAGTTGAGAAAGAAGCACATGGAAAGTTTCTTTAATCTGGAAAGATGGTTGCGGCTAAGTCTTGAAGGATTAGCCAATCGGCTCAGCTGATGATCTGATAAGATTAGATTGACATCCATCAAAGACTCACTTTTACCTAATGTACCCACACAACTCCATGTGAAATATTTCCTTTCCATAGATAGATCCGGCAGATTTCCTCCAGTCTAGCCATCTGATAAAGATTTTTCTCCGCTTTATGCCGAATGAATTCTCAGACTTGCATCCCATCATGCTTGCCCCTCTTTCCTCCAATATATCACCGACTACGGTCGAATACAGGCACCGTCTTACTTTTCCATAGGATCGAGATCTTCGCTCTGCGGCTTGGACCGGCTCGGCTAATCTTTACCTGCAACTTCGATAACCTTGAGATTGGCATACACGCCCCGTTTGCGTTATTTTCTTGTGCTGGGATACAATGAACTTGTTGGACGCCACATAAGAGACGTGAAATCAGAGAGGCAAGCCAAGACACCTCATTATTGTTTTTGACGTGCTGGTGCTATCGCAGAGATCTTTATGTTCAATGGGAACTGTTAGTATTCTTTACTGGGAACCAGTGCTTCCTTTGGGAATTTTAATAGGGGTTATTCTGTGACAGTAACTTTGCACTCATGGCTCATTGAGAAGTGCCAATATAAAATGTAAACTGATATTATAATTTATTCAAATCAATTTGATTGTGTTTTTTAAGACGTGATTAATAGTATCCAGCTTCAAGTTCGTCCAATGTGTCTTATTATGAGACGGTCCAGGATTGATGCACAAAATATAACCTTTACCAACTCAACTGTATCGCTTCGTCGCCTTTGAGTTATCTTTCCCAGCGTTGGCACATTTCAGGGAAGAATATCCTGCGCAGTGCCAGCTCTCGTCCCAGAGGTCCTCTCAAGGCTATTTGAGCAATTGGCAACAGGTCCGCTGCTGAGGGAACCCGCTTGCGTCACCTCGTCGACGTATACCCCAGCCTCATCAGCATATACTTTCTTAGCCTTCATCAACGGCCAGTGTCCTACAACCTCATGGTATCTCATAGACAGAAACATCAGAATAACAAAGATCCAGTACACATTGTACGATATAACAGATCCGTAAGTGGCCGAGTTCTGCCATCCGAAGATGGCGTTGAAGATCCCCCAGCCGCCACCGCCGTTTAGCTCTGGGTTGCCGTACTGGATGTTGTTAGAGTGTAGGGTAGAATGATGGATTGTGACTACTTACGTTGACGTGCCAGACACTCTTTGAAATATCATAAGATCCTGGGCCAGCACCCACTTCCGCAGCATCACCACCAACGGCATCATTCCACTTTTGTGCTTCAAAATACCAGACAGCCTTGGAAAACAGGCCAGCGGCAACGAGGTATAGAAAACATGTTGAGGCAATCAAAAAGAATTGGAGTTTCGACGTTGCACCGCCCCTAGAGCCCGTCAGATCTATCAGAGATTGCTTCGGGGGATTAGTATCTTACTTGTAAATGATATATCCAACAGCAGCACCGGCACCAAGACCAACAAACACCGGTAGAGGAACCGATGATGCGGGAGACGAGAAAGAGACACCAGCAACGAAGATAATCGCTTCTAGACCCTCTCGAAGAACAGTAACGAATGGCAGCACGAACATAGCATACTTCTGCGCCCATCGCTTGAACGAGCCCTTCCCAGTTTCCCTGTCGGCTTTCTCTTGAGTAGACTTTGCTAGCTTGACACGCCATTTATCCTGCATCTTCGAGACGCGCAGGAGTGCGGCGCCCATTAGAGTGATGATTATTGCAGCAACTAGGGAGAACGATCCCTCCCAGTAGTATTCCGCGCTGCTCCATTTGTCTCGACCAAGGCCATAGAAGGCGCCGACGATACCACCGCCGATGATTAAACAGATCAGAAGGCCAGCAGCACCCCCAGCCCATACCTGAGAATAAGGTAAGTATGCGAGGTTATGTAGTGTGAACACCGGTGCTAGGACATACCTGTCTGACAAGCCTTTTGTGTGTGACAATATCGCCTTCCGGGCCGTCAAGAGTCTGCTTCAAAAAGGCTAGTAGAACTGAGATGATTATAACAGCCTCGAGAGATTCTCTGAAGACTATGAAAAACACCGGCACGGCAAATACGTTGACCGTCATGACTGAAATCCGAGTCAATAAGAGACTTGACTAGAAAGATATGACAATCAATGCCAACAGGCAAATTATATGTCGTAGCAATGAGGAGAATGGGCGAGAGCAAAAGAGCTTGAATCTGATCAAGAAAAAGTATCAAGACATGATACTGCGGACTGTCATTAAACCTTTTTCTGCGTGCTTGGCAGGTAGTGGACGAGGGTATCTTAATACAGCACTAAGCCATAGGGGGTGGCTGGTTTGTGGATGTAAGTATGTCTTCTCTACGTGGATATCCGGGATATCTAGGGTAAACGAGCAAGGGTGCCGATAGTCGGACCCTTGAGACCACACGCCAGGAGCTCATCGTCTAACCAGATGTAGAAGGCGGTCGAGAAGAGGATCAGAGTTTGACCGGAGAAGTCTGCTGGAAAACCCTGAGAAAAGTAGAATATCCTCGAGCGAAGATCTTAGCGAACTGACGGTCGCCTGCATCGAAAAGGGAAAAGCGGCGTTGGACAGCACAGGGATTATAATCAGATCCGCTGATAATACATACGGCCCCTTGTTGATCTTCTCTGAATGAAACGAATCCTGTCCCCACTGGCCCCGCACATCATTTGCCGCGGCCTGTCATCGCCGATGATAAGCGTGCTAAGCTAAAGGCTTCTCTTCATGTGTGACCGGAGGTTCCGGATTGTATTGGACGTTAAATAAATGGTTTGACTAGCCATTAGGATGGACGTTTTTTCCGAGTTTGCTTTGAACCTGCTCTTGAGCTCGAGTCTGGTTCCGCATCCTGCATCGTCCTTTCTCCGCCACAGCGCTTTTCGTTAGCTCAAAAGTGTGCCATAGCACGCGGGATGGCATTTTCACAGTGTGGCTTTGGCATCGGGCCCATGTGGCAGTAAGACACACTTGACCGCAAAGTGCAGTTCGTCCGTAAGCCGTCTTAGCAAATGGTCGGACATAGAAAAACCAACAACTCTAACTCATGCTGGCCGCTATTGGCTTTCATTCCTACCACGCATGTTTTCTGAATGGTGGCGTCTCCGCAATCGCTGGCCCACAGCCGCCATAACCTCGTATCCCACTTTAACCATATCCAATGTAGTACCATGTCAGCTCGGATGGGAAATAAGTCACCTGGCCTATAGCATTCCTCACAAAAAAATGGTGGCGTGCGCTAAAAGAAGGCTTCGCATTGCTTGCCGAGCTTCCAATATACTGTACTTATCTAGGCAGGTGTTTTCAATAATTCTTGGCTCCATTTTTCAAAACCATACACTCACAAGTCCACCCGCTATGACGCCTAGTTGTGAGCCATCTCCCTCGGTTTTTGCAACACAAAATAAGGAGAATTGCACTGCAACACCTTGAGAAATCGTCATTTTGCAGCCATATCGCCAAAGCCTCTTCCCTCCCCCCCACCCAAGGCTATCACCGTGCTGAAAACGATTTCTTCGTTGGAGCAGATGCCATCTTAACGGATACACAGCATTAAAATTACTGAGAGAAATCTTGAACAGAAAGATGATTTCTTCGTGGCGTCAATTATCTGCTTTACCAGCGTTGCTCGTTGCGTTGCCACCTCTAGTTCAAGCAGCAACTGTTACCTATGACTTCAACATCACTTGGGTCACTGCAAATCCCGATGGCCAATTTGACAGACCAACAATTGGCATCAATGGGGCTTGGCCGTTGCCAATCATCACGGCCAATGTCAATGATACTATCATTGTCAACGTTGAGAATCAACTAGGAAACCAGACGACCACACTTCACTTCCACGGATTGTATATGAATGGCACTACGCATATGGATGGCCCTATGCAGGTTTCCCAATGTGGCATTCCTGATGGCCACAAGTTTACTTACAACTTTACTGTATATACATTCTCTTTACAAATTAGTCCATAGCTAAACTTCCACAGATTACTCAACCAGGGACTTACTGGTACCACTCACATGCGAAAGGCCAATACCCCGATGGTCTCCGCGCACCACTCATAATACACGATCCAGAGTCGCCATACAAGGACGAATACGACGAGGAGTATGTACTGTCAGTATCAGATTGGTACCACGACCAGATGCAAGACTTAATTCCCGTCTTCATGAACCGTGCCAACCCAACGGGCGCCGAGCCGGTACCAGACTCTGCGCTCTTCAATGATACCCAAGATCTGAAAGTGAAGATCACTCCAGGAAAGACGTACTTGTTTCGTGTGGTTAACATAGGTGCTTTTGCTGGGCAGTACATATGGTTCGAGGGGCACAATATGACCATTGTTGAGGTCGATGGAGTCTACACTGAGAAAGCGGAGGCCGAGCTGATTTATCTCTCCGCCGCGCAACGCTGTAGCTTCCTCATTACTACAAAAAATGAGACTTCTACTAACTATGCATTTGTTGGAAGCATGGACACAGTACGCATGACACTATAAAACTTTAGAATGAGCCTTACTAACGATTATAAAGTCTCTTTTCGATGCCTTTTCGCCGGACTTGGACTATAATGTTACCGGGTGGCTTACTTACGATGAGAAAGCTGCGTTCCTCCCAGCTGTCCTCCTCGACGACTTTGATAATGAATATGACGACTTCACTCTGGTTCCATACGACAAGCAGGAACTATACACAAACCCCAACCAATCCATAGCTCTGGAGGTTGTCATGGACAATCTCGACGATGGCGCCAACTAGTAAATCCTGACCTCCCCAAGCTCATTACCAGACACTAACACAACCCCAGTGCATTCTTCAACAACATCACGTACACCTCACCCAAGGTACCAACCCTATACACCGTCCTGTCCTCCGGCGAGCACGCCACCAACCCCGCCATCTACGGCGAATACTCCCACCCCTTCGTCCTCGCCAAAGACGAAGTCATCGAAATAATCATCAACAACAACGACCCCGGCAAACACCCCTTCCATCTCCACGGCCACGCATTTCAGGCCGTCTGGCGTACCAATGAGGAAGCGGGATACTTTAACACGACTGAGAACCCCACTGCCGAATCTGAGCTCCCAGCCACCCCGGTTCGCAGGGATACCTTTGTAGTGCGTCCGAATGGGAATATTGTGCTTCGCTTTAAGGCTGATAATCCCGGAGTCTGGCTTTTCCATTGTCATATTGAGTGGCACGTTGACTCTGGCCTTATTGCGACGATGATAGAGGCTCCTGCTGAAATGCAGAAGTCCCTCACTATCCCTGCTGATCACCTCAGGGTCTGTGATGCTTCGAAGACCCCTATCAAGGGCAATGCAGCTGGGAAAATCGTGGATTTGCTCGACCTCTCGGGTCAGAACCAGCCCCCCAATCCCCTTCCTGAAGGGTAAGTCCCTTTGTCAGTTTAATTGGCCTCAATCCTTGTGGAGTATCTGCTAATATATGACACCAGATTCACCGCTAAGGGCATAGTAGCCATGACCTTCTCCGTGCTTGCTGCTATACTCGGCATCTCTGTGATCTCCTGGTACGGCCTGGCTGATATGGGCGCTGCAGAAATGGAAAATGAGAGGAGGCGGACCGCAGGTGTTGGGGGTGGTGTGAAATAATGTAATACTTTGGAAGTTGGGTATTTTGAAGGGGTGGCGGATAATCTACTGCACTGACGGGAATGAAACTGCGTGCTAAATAATATACCAAATATAGTCTCCTTGAACAAAATATAATACGGGCCTGGTGGAGCGTCAGCGTAGAGATACACTTGTAAATAACGCTCAACTTTGTCAGAAGAGCTGGGACGCTGGTATGTGGGGATGCGGCGTGATCGAGACAGAAGGCTCCATGGGATCATACAGCAACAGCAAAGGGTGCGATCTGAATTTATCTTCCTGTTTTGATAAAGGGCCCTTTTTCGGAGTATACCAGCGAGTTATAAGGTTTGACACTACGTATCTAGGTTGATCAAAAGAATGTTAAAATACTTTGGGTTTTTTGCCTCTGTCAGTGACCAGAGCCATTTCTGGTGCCGTTATTAGGCTGTAGCAATATTATTTTCATCCGACACTATTCTCTGAAACCAAACCATCTTACCGTATAACTCCTCTACAAGATAGACTCCAAGCCGACTGACCGGTCCTTTAGCATCGACCCGAAATGCTGCTCTTACAATCGTTTATAATGCTGGTCTATGTCTATCTTGTCCACAACAAATGAAACTGTCTAGAAGCATGCTCAAGTGACATCAAATTAATAAGTAAGATTAAACATTAAACTTAGGTTCTAGCAACTATATCGCTGGTCAATTGAATAGTCTTCCTTGGGTGGCTAGATTCTCACATCTGGTGCACCCACCATTACAATAATGCTTGATAACGCTTCAAATAACGATACCCTTATGAAACATTTGTCACAAAGTACATTCATTTAAGATTATTAGACCAATTAAATCAAATCTAATTACATATCTAGATCTCAAGAACGAGTACCAAATTGATTACGATAGCAAGCACCATAGACTTCTTTTGTAATGGTGGGTGCACCAGATGTGAGAATCTAGCCACCCAAGGAAGGGATGATTTTACTAAGACAACACACTGTCTTAGGAAACAGAGCCAAAGGGTTGTAGCTTAGACTATTCCACAACACAGCAATCAGGTGTATGATGTAGTGAAGTGGTTTAGACAAGTTGTAACAAATGTTGAGTCTGAGAACTCAGGGGTAAGCCAGAGGTTAGCACCTCACTGACTTTTCAGAAACAAAGAATAACAAGATTAATGCTTGGAAGCTTGGAAAAGATGTGGAAGTATGTGATAGCCGATTTACTGTATTGTCTGCTTGCCCTTTCTTAAGGAAAGGGCAATCCTATTTATGCTAAAGGAGTGTAGTTCTCTCATTTTCCAAGACTTTCCATGACTAACCAGGCTTGTTACTGTAGTCGATGTAAGAGAATCCCATAGAACCATCTCCTAGGTTCCTAGCCTATAGGAAATGAAAGGAGGTCCAAGGTCAGAGTACCCCTATAGACAGATTATGTCATAACTTAACCAATCTTGTGGGTAACTAAGGAGCGATGACGTGTAATGAATCATAGATGGTTGTAGAAGCTTTTGGAGCTATCGTTCATGTTCCTAGGCCTCTAGTTGATAGAGATATGTCATGTGTAGTATTAGCCCAGTAACTAAGGAGTGATGTCATGTAATGAATCATAGAGGGTTGTAGAGATAGCTAATAGATGGCTCAACTATCTAATATCCACTAGTTTCTACAACTATCCACTAGCCTAGTCACACTACAGCCTAGCCCTACTAGCCTCATGACTCATAGGTCACGTTACTAGAGCCTAGTCCTACTAGCCCTAAAACTGACGTCACACTACTGTAGCCATAATATGAATACAGGGTGAAGGCTCTTAAAGCTTACTGCTATAGAAAAGGGATATTAATCCAATTTACAGTTCCATATACCCCTAAACAAGACGGAGTCTTAGAAAGGACTAACCACACAATTATTAAGAAGACTACAACTATGATTATCGAAATTATAGAACGGAAAGCGCACCTAGTTGTTGCTTTTCTTACTAATGAACAATTAAAGGCTATTTAGCTAGAGATTATCAAAACTGCAGTCTATATTACGAACTACATAGCTACTCTTAATTCAAAAGCCACCCTGCTAGAGCATCTTCACTCTAAGCAAGGGACGGCCCAATCTCTTACATATGAGAGTTATTAGCTGTAATGCTCACTACCATATTCATAAAGAAAAACAGGTACAGAGCACCAAATTCAGAAATCAATCTAATATTAGAATTCTTATTAGATATGAAGGTAATACAATATATTGGATTTACGACCTAGACAGTAGAGTGACTTAAGCATCAGCAGTTGTCTTTTAAGAAGACTCTACATTAGCGATCCTTACTGCTGTTAAGAGTGATGATTCTGACTCAGAACCCTAGAAACAAAATGCTAATGGTGAAGCCGCATAGCCCCTATCACCTACAACTATTACAGTTGAAGCCAAACTCCCTAAAGCAACTATAGGAGATCCCATAGCAATTACACACGAAAATGACAGGGAATCACCAAATCCTAACGTAAGACCCATTAACCAAGACACTATTATTGTCTAAAGAAGAAGACCCATCTTACAACCCCCTATAATAGATGAAAATGATGATTAAGATGAGATCAATTGTCAACTCTAATTACAGGCTAATACTAAAAGTAATACCTAATGAGGGGCAAATACAATCGCTTGCCACTCTAAGTAGATTTAATGATCCACTAACGCATGTCAGCCATGCCTCTAATGAAAAGGAAGCCTTAAAGCTAATTACTAGGCTCTTGATAAAAGGCACATTACAGCATTCAATGTGCACTTACCATCTTCAACAATAAAAGTGTTATGGCTATGATAATGTGACATCATGGTTATGGGGCTAGCTGTTACGACGGAACAAGAAGGCTGGCCAACTACAGGACAGGAAGGAGGGAGGTCGCATGAGACCGGCCCTGGTACCTGGAGGGGCAGCGGGGAATAGTAGTTCCGAAAGTATCACGTGACGGACTCGCAGGATGATGAGAAGAATCCTAAGAGTCCAGGACTCCGAGGACTCGAGTGAGTTCCCAGGAGTCCACTAGGCATGACGCCACTATATAAGTAGATAGTATTTCCTTAGATAGGAGCTTCGTGCTCAACTCAATACAGTATTTGTTATATACTAGTAACGTGTTACTTGAAGCCTTTGTGTCTGATCCCCTGCCTCCTCTGATAAGTAAACCTTTACGCAAGAGAACCTCTGTGTCTTCTATCGTTTAGAAGTCAGCGTTACACTTTGAGCACCACTTCTACGAGGCACTGGCTCATACACAAAGCAACATGTCTGTCGTCAGTTCGAAGGGGAAAACCCCCACCTCGCCAACTTCGTCTCAGAGGTCTAAGCCTGAGAATGAAGAGATGCCCGACGCACCCACCGTCAACGAACTCAAGGAAACTCTACGCTTCAAGTTGCCCGACACTTACTCCGGCAACCGAAAGGAACTCGAGGTGTTTTTGCTACAGGTCGAACTGTACCAGCACTTCAATGACGAGAAGTTTCCCACCCAGGAGAGCTATGCCCTGTGGACTGCGTCCTACCTTAGGGGCGAAGCCCTGCGATGGGTCGAACCATTCCTCAAGGATTATTTCAAATATGAAAGTACCAATGGAAGCATGGCAACTACCCAAGGCATGTTTGGCGGTTGGAAAGGATTCTGTAAGGAAATCCGTCGCATGTTCGGCGATATCGATGAGATCAAGACTGCGGAAGACCATTGACCCCCCCCACCCTCGCGCTCTACCCAGGAGGCGCCATCGATGCCACCTCGAGCGCCCACTACGGCGCCACCAGCGACCTGCCGCGTGCGCCACTTCTCATCCCCAGCTTAGCCGCTGCTCTCCAGCACCTCGGGCGCTCGAGGTGGCATCGATGGCGCCTCCTGGGTAGAGCGCGAGGGTGGGGGGGTCAACGGAGGGAGTGTGCATCGCGTGGGTGGTGGTAAGGACCTCGGCGGTGGCCATTTTTATATCTGCGCTCGTCTTTCGCTTGGGGGGCGTTGGGGTGAGACGGCTGCGATGACTGTAAGGAATGGTACGATTTTTTGGAGATGGGGGGGGTATCATAGGGGGCTTACCGAGTCCGGGAATCGACTCACGACGAAACACGACGGGCGAGGGCACGATGGTGCGAGGAGGTTGTGGTGGTGTTGGGTTCATTTGGGTATGGTGGCGCGACGGGGTGAGGGCGACAATCCTTCAACCACCAGCTAGACACATGCACTGCTATGGAGTCAGAGTCGCCTTTTATGACTATGTCGAAGCATTTAAGTGGCTGTGAAGGAGGCTCAAGGTTAATCCAGGGACTTAAACCACCGCATTTTCGAACTGCTGCGCACATATCTATTGCAAATTTTCTTCTTGACTCGACTTTAAGTGCAGTTCCTACAACAATCACCGCATCAGGTTTTGATCTAAGATCTGAGGCACTAACCATGGCAATAGCTGTCGTATCTGCATAGTCATAGTCATCATAGAGCCAAACTCTAGGTCTCATGAGAGGAATATGCCTGGTTCTTTCTTCTGCATTGTTTTTGCATATAGCGCAACATGGCAGAGCTCCCTCCTTGAAAAGTTCTGGGTTAAACGAGCCTAGATGTGTTGGATTTCCTTGACATTTAACAGTCCTTAGGTCTCCATGTAGCTGAATCGTTGTAGGCCATGGCTTCTTTTCTGGCAGTGGTATCTTAGTTCCTAAGGACGGTAGCTGCGTGTCTAATCCGTCAATATTTTGAGTGTACAAACGTTGCAAGCGGCCTTCTTTAGCAAGCTCCTCAATAACGTGGTGAAACTAAGTTGGGCTTGCAGACCTTATACTGCTGTACATTCTGCACATTGTCTCGTTAAGAAGCGTTGTAGATGCATCGTCATTGTATGAGTTCATGCTAAACACGTCTCTGCCTTTCACTGGTAAATCTTGGAATCTAGCGACTACATTGATTAGTGACTGTAGATAGAAGGGAGGGGCTACCTACTTCCTGCGGACGCCGAGATTCCAGCTCCTGCAATGATTACAATTCTCTTTTTCTGGCGAAATATATCAATCAATGGACGCAGCTCCACATGCGCCACATAATCTGGTACGGAGCTAATGTCAACTTCTAATACCATGTTTTTTTTAGTGTTTAGCGGTTATGCGATTATGACATAACGATCAGGAGACTTGATTTGTTTTATTGCGAGTTATTACTATCTAATGCCCCGCAGCCCGTTTTGGCGCCTCATTGTGGAATTCACGGCTTCAAAAACAGCCTTACTCTGTTAATGGATTACAATTTTACAGAAACTGACGATAGGCTAGCGTTAATCTGACGGCTGATAATCTAGCTCTCTTAAAGTAATGTCTTTGCTAAGAGACGTACGTAGCTTCAATCTCAGCTCATCGCGAATCTTTGTCGACGCAGATACTATATGCTGTAAGCAAAAAGCTACCTTATGGCATTGCAGACTTACCTGTAATAAGCATTCTAGGTGATTTCGTACGCACTGCTAAGGTTTCTAACTCGTCAATTTCCTCATCTGGTTGTCGAACCTCATTCGTGACGTCGCCTTGCCCTCTTCTAATTTGCCCTGCTCTCTTCTTCATGATTTCTTCTCGTCCCCTTTCTATCTTCTGAGCTCTTTTCTCCATCGCTCTTTGTGCGGCCTTATTTTCTCCCATTTTTATAGCGTCCATCAGCGATATTTCGGCATCAAGTGCACTTTTAAGTGGGAGGCATGTGTCATGAATTATTGCTCTCTGGCCAAGTTTACCACCTCCCTATTGCTTTGAGTAGAGTGAGATTGTAAGTGCCTAGCAGACTTAGTAAGATAAAGCACAAATACATACTGTTAAACGTACGCAATTTTTGCCTAATTTCTGAGGCTCATCCAAAACCCAGTTAAATATCGGAACCACTGCATCATAGAGATCTAATACATAGAGTGAGACAAGTAATCAAATTGTAAGGCAAACTCACCTGCGTCTTCAAATTCCCAAACGAGGCATATTCGAAGGGCTCGAGCTTTACGCGCAAGCACACCATGGACCAGTCGTTCCAACAGCGGCAACTGTGCTACAATGCCGTAACCACTTGCGACCATGAAGAGATACTCGTAATCTCCCACTGGTATGGAAGCACCATGTGGCCCAGTAAATAGGACTCGTCCTAGTCCTGTAGTCTGCCCACTCACAGCTATGGCCTTCGAGTGAAGCCGTTTAGTCCAACCACGGCGAGGCTCAATGATGAGCATTAACTTTGTCTGCTGGTTACCTGTCCAGGATGCTACTACAAATGGATGGGTCTGCATAATTCCAAGTAAGCCAAGCCAGACATTAATGTATTGCCCCGCATCTATTTGCAATGGCTCCAGGCAATGTATCATAAACTGGACCGGATTTTTGTCGCCATCTGAAATGGTGCCAACTGGATATTTAAATATCTCTCCAACTCTGGGCAATCTTGCCCACCTGACATTCGTAAATATTCCTATGAATATTCCATTGCGGCATCCCAAAAGCAGCGCTTCGGCTGTTAGGGTTGTTGCAAAGATTCCTAGGCCGACGTAGATGTATATCCTAGGAACCAGTTCTGACGGAACATGCAGGAGAGCAGAGACAACAAGTACAGCTGCCAGTGTCTGGTGCAACCAGAGAAACATCTCGTAACATCGCCTGCGGAGAGGATGCCAAGACAGTAAACTAATCAACACAAGTGAGGACCCGCCCTATAGCGTATAGTGAGCAACACAACACCTAACCATTGAGGCAGACTTACAACTACTGCAGAAACCCCCTTCATACCGCGTAATATGAACTTTTTAGGTGACAAAACCATGGCAACTGCATGAAAAATTACCATTGCGCATGACATTAGCCCAGCGGAGCGATGTACTGCGCGAAAGGCAGTCAATGAGACACCAAATATATCAGCAAGAAAACTTATATGCGGGCCTAGAAATAAAGGGATCAAGTTTATTAGTGAAAGATTACCAGCTCGTAGGCCAGCCTGCATAATAGTCGGAACGGGAGGCTGGAACACAAGACAGAAGGAGTTGGCAGCTATGTATACAAGGTGGACCAGAATATCTGCTCTTGTCCAAGGGCCTATAAATCGATGCCGGTAAATATAGTAAGGGTATGCCAGGTACCTTATTCCCTTATGGACATAACGCCATTTTGGTGGTATAACAAGTGAGGGAAAAGGAAGTAAATTTATAAGAACTGGAATGAGAAGGAAGCTGCCTAAGGCGATGGCATATGCTAAAGTGATTTGCATCGTTGGAATCATGTAGATTTGACAAAAAAAACTGTTCAGCGTCGTATTAATACTCTTGTAGTATTTCAATGTTGACAAGCCAATAGCGTCGCCTACTGCAGATTGGTAGCAAGTCATACCTGCAATTTGTACTTATAGACCAAATTAAGCTAGAGGAGCCAAAAAGTACTCGTGGCTTACAATGGAGGGTGCAAAACAAGCTGCCTAGCTTGGATGTCAAAATCTGCTGAGCTTAGGAGTTGCATAAACTTTGTAAGCAAATTTGGATATTAATAGGCTAACTTAGAGAACTAATTAAATATTATCTAAGCTACAAGCCTCAGCATTCCAGTATGGCAGCAAGGGCGATAGCATGGCTCGTATTAGATATGTTCCGGCCCAGTCGCGAATAATAGTAATAGTAAAGTAGTAATTAAGAATCTATATACTATTACCAACAGTGTCTGCTCTTGCTCGCTTCCTTCGTGGCCTCTCAACTAAAGCTATTTCCGTACGAGTAGCTAGACCTGATAAATTACCACAGTCGTGGTCATCATTATGACAGTGTACGCTACACCCCTTTACTTTCTTATAACACCGACACCTCTTTGAATTGCATTGACTCTTACATTGACATGATATTCCAACCCGTGCACTTGTAGAAGCCTCTCTAGCTGCAAGTGCAAGTGTTACTTGCTTTGTAGAAGTAGGAATAGTAATATCAGACCAAAGAGCTTGCTCTACAGCTTGAAGTGATTTTGTAGGTATAAGGCGTTGTATAATACCAGAGAGTGTTATAACCTGATACCGGTGTGGATAGGGCTCTTCTAAAATGTGTGCAAAGAGCCTCTTATTATCAGTTGAGGTTCTATCCTCTCGAGGAACCTTGATAGAGACTATAGCTCCAATATCGAAGTGTTGGATATTATGCCTCTTACTATACTTTTGTATCATAAGAACCCTTGCCTTTTGAGTTGCTACTGTAGCCCGCTCAATTATAGAATCAATGGGAGCTCTAAGCTTAGTTCTAGGCTGGGCTGCTACTCGACTCCGGCTCCCACGCCGGAGCTCAGAATGAAGCTGCTCTTGCGCTTGCTCGGAATTGATCGATTCTGCCAGCTCAGAATTGAGTGAGAGTGAGAGTGCTCGCTCGGAATTGGGTGAGAGCGCTAGCTTAGAATTGAGTGAGAATGCTCGCTCGGAATTGGGTGAGAGCGCTAGCTTAGAATTGAGTGAGAATGCTCGCTCGGAATTGGGTAGGAGCGCCAGCTCAGAATTGAGCGAGAGAAGTAGCTCAGAATTGATCGAGGGTGCCAGCTCAGAATTGATCGAGAGCTCTCGCTCTTGCTGGAGCTCACTCTCAAGAATTGGTTGCCATCGTTGGGTCTTCCTGCTCAACTCCAATTGAGAGATCCTTCCGCGCCTGGCTATTAAGCCAGTTAATATGAGAGCTCCTATCTCGGAATAGTAGCTCAGCTGGTGCACATCCAATTGTCGAGTGGATTTGAGTATTCATTGCAAGCATAACCTCGAGTAGCCCATCCTTCCACTCCATAGATCCATGATCCATTTTCCATGCTCGTAGCTTTGCTTCAACAACCCCATTGGCTTGCTCAACTAGGCCTTGTGTCTGTGGTGACCGTGGCGCTCCATTTATCACTTGAATTCCATACTTGCGTAGTAGGATAAGTAGGGCTCCCTTGAATTCCTTTCCGTTATCAGCTTGCATAATCTTTGGAGGTAAGAAAGCTGCGATAAATTGAGCAAAGCAGTCTGCAATTGGCCCTGCGTGCTTGCTCTTTAATGGGTATAGCTGTGTATACTTTGAGAAATGATCTTTTATATGCAGAATCTATTTATATTGCCCTGAAGGCTCATGGCGCATATCAATTAGATTAATTTGAACCCGCTCCTACGCTCGCTCACTTATAATAGGGACTAAAGGAGCTTTTGTAGTAGATGGTCGATTTAGAGTACAGTTCTTACACCGCTTTATAATGAACTCTACTTCTTCTCTCTTTAGTCCATAGAACTTTTGTTGTATGATATTCCATGTTTTTGTACGGCCTGCGTGTAGGAGTTGTAGGTGTTCGTTGATAATAGTATCAAATGCATCGCTCTCAAGAATTACACATCGTGGGTTTTGAAACCTAGTAGTAGGCTTATAATTAGTAGAGCTTATTATGTAGAAGCATAAACTCTGTTTGCGCACGATGCTTAAGTCGTGATTCAATAGGATTTGCAGGTTTCATCGATGGGTTCTGAAGATAGAGGAGTAATTGACGGTATTTTAAGTAGTCTATCCGCTCTCTATTACTATAGCTAAAGCTATGAATATAGGTTTGAAAAGCAGTGCGCACATCCTGAGGAAATGGATTAATCTGTGCAATAGTAGGGTCTTTCATATTGATGAAGTTGATATAATAGATCTATCTACAATATCTATACTATATTACCCCGCATAGGTTGGGCATCATTCGCGGTTGGGCCGGCCCATTCGCGAATAGGCCGGCCCGCTCGCGGAGGTTCATATTCGTGGTTGGGCTGGCCCATTCGCGAATATGAATTATTCGCGACTGGGCCGGAACAGATATGACCAAAACTTGTCAGAAGTTTCGACAACTTAAACTGCTAGCAAAAACAATGAATCAACCAATCTAAGGGGTTAATGACAGATTTAAACGAAATAATGGAGAGTAGAATTAGTACGGCAGACTGATGATCAGACTGAAACAAAGCAGAAAGAATAAACTAAGCCTCTTGAAACTCCAAACATAAAAGCAAAAACAAAGTCTTACTATTAAATTACGCCGTAAGTGCTAGTAAATTTCTTCTTTATAGCTTTTTCTTGTTTTGGCATTAGTCTATCTTTTGGCGATATATTGTGTTTAGCTCGGTATTGGCCTTCAATTTCCCGAATGCGTTTTTCCTGAAACTCCTGCTCTGTTTCTTCCTCTTCTTGCTCAATTGCGCCGTAAGTGCTAGTGAATTTCTTTATTATAGCTTTTTCTTGCTTCGGCGTTAGTCTAGCTTTTGGCGATATATTGTGTTTAGCTCGGTATTGGCCTTCAATTTCCCGAATGCGTTTTTCCTGAAACTCCTGCTCTGTTTCTTCCTCTTCTTGCTCAATTGCGCCGTAAGTGCTAGTGAATTTCTTTATTATAGCTTTTTCTTGCTTCGGCGTTAGTCTAGCTTTTGGCGATATATTGTGTTTAGCTCGGTATTGGCCTTCAATTTCCCGGATGCGTTTTTCCCGAAGCTCCTGCTCTCTTTCTTCCTCTTCTTCTTCCTCTTCTTCCTCATCTTCTTCTTCAGTTTCTTTGTCGTCATCACTCGACAGAATACTTGGAGACTTATTTCCTGTACCCGGCGGAGGCTTCATTCTGAACGGGACTGGTGTTACTTTGGGCTCAGGTGTTTGTCTTGGTGTATTCTTAGGTGTAGGTGTCGCCTCCGTCCCCGGCGACATTGAACGTCCTGCCCGAAATATCTCTATAGTTGGCATTGGTTTGTCTGCATACTGCCCACCAGAAACCTTTTGATACCATTCTTCAATGAATTTGGCGACATAAAGCAAGTAAGCATCTGCATTCTTCTTCCAAATAAGACGACACGTTGCCCTACTTTCCCAACTTGAGAAAATTTCTTCACCGGTGTCTAATATCAACGGCTCATTCCATTCGCAGTAGAGTTGTACATCCGGCTGTCTGGGAATTGTCTCATTATTTGCTTTGAATGCATCCTTTTCTGTACCCGTCATCTTAGGAATTAGCTTGACCAGGTTTACTGGAGATGAAGCATAATCAAGTGGGACATCTATTGCAATCAGTTTAACCGCGGCAAGGTCGTCAACTCCCCATTTCTCCACAGAGTTAGGTTTTAGCTCTCCACCACGTCTCTGCAGCATAATGTTGGGACTACTCTTGTCATGTGCAATGCCGTTCTGATTCTGCAAATTCTTGCATGGGGAAATTTGTTATCAAGAATAATAACTGGTTTCCCAAACCCGTTCTTATGGCCAACAACATGCTGCTTTGGTGACAAAAGAGCCTCTACTGATATGGAAATAGGCTTCTTTAATTTGCTGATAGGCTGCCCCTTTCGAAGTCTACTAACTATATCGTCATTCTCGTTATCGGAAGGCGGCTCCTTGGCTGCCTTGTCTTCTGCGGCCTTTTTCGCTGCTTCTTCTTCTGCGGCTTTTTTTGCTGCTTTTTCTTCCTCGGTCATCTGTGGATTTTCATTATCTGCATCTTTTGCTGCCTTTTCTTCTGCGGCCTTTTTTGCTGCTTCTTCGTCTGCGGCTTTTTTTGCTGCTTTTTCTTCCTCGGTCATCTGTGGATTTTCATTATCTGCGTCTTTTGCTGCTTCTTCTTCTGCGGTCTTTTTCGCTGCTTCTTCTTCTGCGGCCATCTGTTGATTTTTCTTATCTGCGGCTTCTTTTGCTGCCTTTTCTTCTGCGGCCTTTCTCGCTTCTTCTTCCGCAGCATTTGCTGCTGCTTCTTTCGCAACTTCTTCTGCAGCTCTCTCTGCGGCTTTTTCTGCTAACTTTTTCTGCTTTTCTGCATCTTCTATTTCTAACTTTTTTATCTCTAAATTATCTTTCTGAATCTCTTTATCAAGATCAGAGATTTTTTTCTCTACAATAATCCTTTCTGTTTCCTTGCTCCTTGGTTTAAGTGCAGGCAGTTGATCATTGTCACGGTTCACCAAGGCATAGGGCGCCAGTTAGGTATTATGAATTAAACTCAATCTAGAGAAGAAAGGAAAGAGAAGAGGAGCACTCGAGCAGTGGCTCGATCTATATACAGCTATTGTGGAGTGAATTCTCTTTAGCGAGACCAGTTCTGAGAATTCACTCCACAACTGAAAACTTCGCTCCAACCCCGGAAAGCTCCCCACACCCCTGAACCCCCACTCGAGCTGCAAGGCGCACTTGATATCGTAACAATCGTCTAAAGATTTCCTTTTTAGCAGTCTCTGTTCACGCTTTGCAATAGCATCGCTTAGCGACATGATTCCCTTATGTATCGTTGTTAGAGGTATAAGAGAGTAATGCTTTATCGAAAAGCAAAAAAATAGATAGCGTTCCTGGAGAAAATAGGGAATTCTTATAGATTTTGCAATAAGCTAGTTTAGGCGGTATATAAAGCAAGAGTCAGATGGGGTCGACCACTTCAGGGCCTCATAGCAGCTTTGTTGTTGGGTCAGGGGCAAGTCTCTTTGTGGTCTCAGGTATTTCTTTGGGCAGCACTGACTGAAATGTTATATTTGTTAAATTAAGGGCTTAGTAATTATTTGATCAATTATCTCCAGAGTGTAAAGTAGCGATCTAGCGCTTGGCTCCATAATAATATCTCTCCCCGGAGTTGCTAAATAACAGTATCTGGTGCTTTGACTTCTTCTTTCTGGTGGTGATGGCGTGCCAGACCAATTATACCTACGCAGTTCTTCTGTGTTTATTCCACGACCGTCAGAAGTAATTTTTGATATGGAGAAGCACCCACAAAGCATTATCATTTTGCGTTACAGATTATTTCGATTTATCGTCACACAGTGGCTTTAATTTATATGGCATTAATGGGTGCTATAATGGCTGCCATAATTGGCATCCGTAAATGGTACCAGAGAATAATTAGTATTCTATATTAAGCCTTACATCTTATACTTGTTCTAGATAACAGCCACTTTTGAAGTAAGTCATAACTTATTATCCAGAACTAAATTATAAAAAATAGCTACTAAAACCCTCTACGGACAGCTTTGCGAGCCGTCAGGGGGAATCTTAGCAGTATCAACATTCTTTGAGAAGTTTAAATTTGCACACAGTGTCAAAGCAATAGAATTACTATTTCTACATCCATGAGATGACCAGTCATCTTTAGAATGTGTATAGGCTTGAATGCATGTAGAATTGCCATTCGGGTTACCACCGGGGCAGGTTATAGTAGCGCAATCGCTACTTGTCCCTTCAACGATCAGGCCGTCCTTCTGAAAAGGCCAGGGCAGTATCCCATTCCAGCCATTATCTGAATCAAAGACATAGCCATTTACATTTGAGACACTGTACCAAAGACCAGGCGCGTTTAGAGGATGGTATGTGTACTCAAACTGCGTAATTGTGCTCTGGAAAAAGGCTTGCTTATCACCAGCGATTGTCTGATTAGGTGAGAGCTTAATACTGATGCCGCCGTATATCGCTTCTCCATCATGATCTTCGCCAAGGTACCTTAACCTAAATCGTTCCCGATAAATTCCGCCTGGAGGGAGAGTGAACAGTTCCGGAATCACCTATAGATGCATAAAACACAGGAACGTCGCATTTATTCACCACGATAGCTTCTCCGTTTTTATGCTGGGGAGCAACCCCAGGCTGGGCGACGGACAGAGCTATTCCAGCGAAGAAAAGGGTGATATTCTTGATTATCTGCATTTTGAGTAAGGTTTTTCATGGTGCATAACCGTTGGCGCCTCCTAGTATGTTATAGAAATGATCTATAGGCTAGTCAGCATTCAGAAGTGGCTCCTGCTTTCAAAAATGCCTTATTTGTAGCCTATAACTGTAACTAGTAGAAGCTGATACAAACGTTTCCCTAGCCCATAGTTTAAAATGCACTGCTACTAATATTCATGGTCATATTTGAAAACTTCCATGATTTTAAACATTCTGGATATTGCTGGCTTTCTGACATGTTGTTCTCCACCCTTTTACCCTTGGTTGTAGTTGCCACTATAACCTTAGGCCATATGGAGTTATTATATCCACCACCACTCCGTAGCAAGTATAACCACTTCACAAGCAACATTGATTATAGTATGACCTCACCTTTAGGCACTAATAATGATTATCCTTGTAAAGGCTATCTACCCGATCTAAAAACTCCTGAAGGTGCTTCTGTTGCGACTTGGGCTGCTGGGTCATTATGTTACGGCTATAGTAACATGATGTCATGGTTACAGGGCCAGGGCCTAGTAACGTGACGTGTGAGTCACATAACGTGACGTGTGAGTCACAGTGGGAAGCGGGGTAGGCTGCCATGTGACGGGGCTAATGGATAGTTGCAGAAACTAGTGGATATTGGATAGTTGAGCTATCCACGAACTATCCTGAATATCTAGCTATCCGCCAACTATCCAGATTACCCATGAGGCACGACGCCACTATATAAGTAGATAGTATTTCCTTAGATAGGAGCTTCGTGCTCAACTCAATACAGTATTTGTTATATACTAGTAACGTGTTACTTGAAGCCTTTGTGTCTGATCCCCTGCCTCCTCTGATAAGTAAACCTTTACGCAAGAGAACCTCTGTGTCTTCTATCGTTTAGAAGTCAGCGTTACACATTACAGAAGTTCACCGTCATTGGAAGTATTACCCACAAGGGTGGATCTTGCCAAGCCAGTCTGTCCACAGATGGTGGCATAACATTCACGGTCATACATTCCTACATTGGCAACTGCCCTCTCATTTCTGACTTTCCTTTTACGGTCCCCAGTGATACTCCCACCGGTCCAGCTGTGTTTTCCTGGACGTGGTTTAATACGGTTGGCAACCGCGAGATGTATATGAACTGCGCAAGTGTCACCATAAGTGCAGGGTCAAGATCCAGCCCTGTGGATACAGCGTTTAACTCCCGACCAGACACCTTTGTCGCTAATGTTGGCAAAGGCTGCAGTACCCTCGAATCCATTGATCTTGAATTTCCGGATCCAGGTCCAGATATCACGCGCAACAGCATGGGTACTACGGCTCCAATTGGGTCATGCTCTCATGCAGTCATAAAGGCTGGCATTAAAAGTAGTGGCCAAACGTCAAAACTAAGTGGCAAGTGCAGAAGCTAATACTGTAAACGTATTATGGTACGGAATTTTGATATTACGGCACTACGACTAAGTATTGCGTATATGGATGCGACACATCTTCAGAGGTATGCGACACAGGCCTAGAAATTATTAGGCAGCACTATATCACGTATACATCCAATAATATAACACTAGCGCAGGATAGCTAAGTGTAGAGTTAGATAAATGCAGAAGGTCTAGGACATGCTTGTTAGTTGCTGGGTTATCCCTTTCAAATCATGCTTTCTATATCTAGTCAATACTCTTCCTCTATCATGTACAACGTATGATCGTCAGCCTCCATAGCAACTGCATAACAATCTTCTTCGTTTACTTTTCGACCCATACCATTGTGAGGTAGTAGCCCCTCTTCTTTATATAAAAGCATTTTTTCTCTGACTACGTTTTGTGGGTCTTCAGTAGGCACTACTATTGAGTCTAGTTGGTCGAACGGTAAGTCTTTAGCTGGCTTAGATACCCAGTGTGAATTTTTAAAGGATTTTTTTACGTGAATTATAACGGTGTTTTGAGCAAGAATCTGAGCATTAGCCGCGTTCTCACTTTCTATATCAAGTAGGCAGTCCGATCCAACTTCCTCTTCACTAGGCTGCCCTTGAAATGCTGGAATGTCGTGTAAAGCTAGCTGGGTATCATCCTCTAACTTCACACCCTTAGTAGGCCTATATAGGGGAATGCTGGATAAATCCAGACGGTCTTGTTCCTCTGGCTTAATTTCCTGGCGTTTCTGGACAATTACACTTGGACTTTCCTTGTCTCTTGGTTTTATTTCTAGCGTAGACTCGTATGTAGGAATGTTGTGTAATGCTAACTGGTCGTCATCTTCTACCTTTACCTCCTGGGTAGGAATATACTCAGGAATGCCGCATAGATCTATTTGGTCTTGTTTTTGTGGCTTTATGTCCGTATGTGTGTAAGGAGTTTTAGTCTCATTCTTCCCCTTCTTTCGTTCTACTTTTATAGTAGTGTGTAAAGCTGGCTCAGAGGTATCATCTATTTCTTGGGTAGGTACGTGCTTGGGGCTGTATAAATCCAGGCGGTCTTGCTCCTCTGGCTTAATTTCCTGGCGTTTCTGGACAATTACACTTAGACTTTCCTCGTCTCTCGGTTTTATTTCTAGCGCAGACTCGTATATAGGAATGTTGTATAATGCTAACTGGTCGTCATCTTTTACCTTTTGGGTAGGTACATCCTTCAGAAAGCTATATAGATCCATTCGATCTTGTTTTTGTGGCTTTATGTCCTTACGTGTGTAAGGAGTTTTACGCTTCGCCTTCGCTCGCTCTACTTTTAGAGTGGTTTTGTGTAAAGCTGGCTCGGAGGTATCCTCTACTTCTTGGGTAGGTACATGTTCAGGAATGCCGTATAAATCTAGATGGGCTTGTTTCTCTGGCTTGATTTCCTCGCGTTCGAGTTCTACCCCATCCATAGCTGATGTGTCAAAGTCTTCGCCCCGATGTTTGTCTTCCTCAGGTTTTATTTCTGAGATTACGAAAAGCGTATTGTTATTGCCCGCCATAGTCGCCACGTGGTAGCATTCGTCAGCTGCTATGTGTCTCTTGTGTTTATCACAAGTTCTCTTTCCTTTATCTTTGAGCTCTATGACTTCTTGCTTAACAAGAGAATTAGGGTCGCCACTATCAACCCAGAGTTGGAATACTCCATTAGATTCTAGTAACTGGTCTAGGGTTTCAGTCACATTACCGTCTTGTTCTACAAAGCGTATGAGCTCTCTAGGCGTACAGTCTAGAAATGTTAGACATTGCTTTTAGCGGCCACAATGGACGAGTTATCTTACCAGGGGGGGCATCTATCTCCATCTTTAGAGCTGAGCTGTGTTTGACGCCATTTTTTGGCTTGCCCAACTTAGTATCTTTCATTATGCGCGCACTATGCTGCGGACCTAATGGTCGTAGCTGAGTCCTTCGTAAATTAACACTCTCCTTTTCAACCTCTTCATCTTTTGGTGGTGGCATGTTGCTGTCAGTGTTTGGAACTGGTATCGCCCATGTACCAAAAAAAGCATTGAACCAAGACTTGAGAATAAAAAACGACGTGATACCTTTGTCTTCCTCGTCGCTTTGGAATAGGTTATGTAAAAATATATGCCGTCTGTCTTCCTCAAAGCTATCAGTATGTGGCATCCCAGACCTGCGCTTAATTTTAACCACAGCTGTTTTAGGTACGGGAACTAGTGCTTCCACCTCCGAGAATGTTAAAGGCTCCATCCCTTTTAGCCTCTCTATCTGAGGGATGCTAAATCCTAATTGATTCGCAAAGGAAGCACCCTTTTGGAGCACTTCACTATCGGCCTTTGGCCTTGCAATTTCTATCAGATTTTTTCTCACAGACTGCTTTGGTAAATGTCTGTAGTCTTTCATTGCAAAAGCAATTATTTGCAAATACCCAAGCTTCATACAGTATGTCCGGCTTCCCTTGACTAAACGGAAGGTAGTTTCAGTTGTCTGGACTACCTGAGTGCATTGGGTGCCTTCTTGGGATTGGAACGCACTGTCTAGTGCTGTGAATACTGTCTGATTTGTCCGATCCGTCGGATCCGTAGTAACTGTAACTAGCCACCTGATGCAGTTAACGCAAGCTTCCAACAAGTGCATGTCTTCAAAAAAGGTTGATAGAGAAGGTATAATGCCTCTAAACTTGAGGATGTTACCCCATATAATGCTGCGTTCTTGGCTGCTGAAGCCACTGAAGATGGTGCCATTAAAAATAGCAATGGATAGCTCCTGAGAATCCGAGGTTGATACTGCAGGTGCCCTGCGTTCGATAGCCTTAACGGTGGCCTTATCTAGTCTCTGAATCCTGTTTTCAATCCCGTTAAAAAACCCAACGAAAGCTGTGAAAATATGATTAAGGTAATGATATATTTCCTACATGTAATATAAGTAAAGAATTGGCTGGGATAGCATTCGACTTACCTCATAGCACCTCGTTGCCAGCACTGTATTCATTGTAGTGACCTTCATTCCAGCGTCAAAGAGAGCCGGAATCTTAGTAAGAGCATCAAATCCAGTGGCAACCAAGCGGTGTCCGAAGAGGCTGTGGAGTCTCTTCTGTCTACTTTCATTAAAACGAGACCACCAACGCATTTCGAAGCTTAAACGGGTAGCTGGTAATACTAGGGCATCGGCTTTCAAGGGCAGATACTGGTATTCACGGATTTTGCGATATATTTGACCATCACAAGGCCTATCTTCATTAGAATACTCTTCGTCTAGAATTGTCCTCATCTCGTAGCTGATTCCTGAAAGGTATAGATCCACTATCCACCATTTCTCAGCCGGGCGCAATGCTTTCCCCGCTTGTATTCTATGGAATCCATGGAGACAGATAATTCCGCCTGGAAACTCAAGCTCTGGGTATCCGTTTTCTGAGTCGATCGTGGCGTAAATACTTGGCAAAACACCCGCATTCCACAGTTCTTTCTGTTTCGCATTCTCTATGGCAGTGTCGAGATGGTGTTGATCGACAATAGCAGGTATGTGGTTTCCCACCTTTAGCGAACGGCATCCATCCTCCTCAAAAATCTTTTTAAGCCATAGTACATTCTTCGGGTCATGTTGGCGAATTTTACTCTCTTCCCAATTTAGGCTTTCAAGCTTGACAAGGGCGGAGCCTTTGCAGAAGAGGCGCCGCTCTGTCTCAAACCTTATGTCTTCCGCATGTACTTGCGCTTTCATGTTGAGGTATGGTAGTCTATGCTCTGGGAATATTCCCGCTTTTCACATGGGTTATCTGAGTGCAGCAGCCAAAACTGGCTTCGTGCAATATTTGGCTCTTCTATATCAGTATTAAAAGCCTTGTAGCTCTTTCAACCATTGAAAAAACTGCGCCCGCACTAAGTTATTGCAAATATGAGCTTGAAAAGGAGTAACACCCGGTTTGGGTTTCTTAGAGCCACCCTTGACTCTGACGAAAACGGGTCGAATGGCACGGCATCCCCTCCCGCCAAACAAGCTGACGAAGAGGATACAAAAAGACGAAGCACCACAGAAGAGTCATCCGACAATGATCCCCCGCCAAATAAGCTAATGAAGAGGAGTCGTCGGCGATCAGGGGAGAGCGGTCGGGGTAGAAGCAGATTCCGTGCTCCGGAAGCAATTCAACCTGAGGATTCGTCACCCTGGGAGCGCCTTCAAATGCGATTTAACCTGTCATTAAATGAACCAGTTATAATTGCGACTCAAAAGGACAGCCTCTTAGTTGCTGTGAGAAAATTCTCTGGTCCAGATGCGGAGAAGAAACTAGACATGCTGAGTTGAATTCGAAACGAGAATTTTCTGAAGTTTTTAGAAAGCTTCAGCTTTGAAGGATCTCAATATGCTGTCTTTGAGCATGAACTCGCCAGTGGCGAAAAGCTGCCTATCTGTCTCAGCCACTATGCTACACTTGTAACCTATCCTACCGAGTCACAGCTTGCTGTAATACTTCGACAAGTGAGTCTAACCCTGGGCTGCCTTCCACATCTTAATATATAATCAGATCCTTAACGGCCTTGAATACCTTGCATCAAAGGGTCTGGAGCATGGCGAAGTAACATGCAAGAACATCCTTATAAGTACTAGGGGATCTATAAGAATAGGTAGGCCGTCAATCTATGTCATGGGTGTCAACTAACAGTAAGTAGCGGGCCAAGAATGCTGTCGCAGACTCGTGTCAAATCGCGACTCGATCAAGGATATTAGAGGAGTCGGTTATGTGACAATGGAACTTATGAGTAAAGTCGCTATATATACCGGACCTATGAATACTCGCGACCCCATCCTTTGGCCACTAGACAATGATGCCTCGAAATTTGTTCAAAGTGCTGAATCTGCGCATTCAATCGATGAATTAAGACAGGTAGGAAGTTCAGCATCAATCACAGATTTTCCACTGACAAGAGTAAAGCAGCCACTGTTGACCCGTAAGACAACAAAGGCGGATAGTTACGATATAAAGGCTGATGTGTACATGGCCGAATTTTCAGTCTTCAGAGCACATAAGATTTGTAAATAGTGTGGAATTCATTCTTAATTTTAAAAGGCCCAAATTATTTGATGTTTTCGTCGCTCGACTAAAGTGTCTCCTAGAATTAAATACCCTTTGCCCGCAACAAAAACTGTCCTCAGCCCCAGCCTCAAACCGCCTATCTAAGCCGTTGTAAACCACCCTTTCCCTTATATTTTAAATTATTTAGTAGTTTTACTGAACAATTCTGTGTCAGAGCTGCTACCCATCGTATCATTGCTTGCTTGTGGGCTAAGAGAAAAGATACATCCGCTGTCATCGTCACTTCCCATAAGGTCCCAGTCCGAGCCTATATCTAGCGGTGATATTGGGCTGTCTTTGGAGCTCTGATGATGAGTCTGATTACTCTTACTCTTTGTTTTACAAATGATCAGACTTTTTTTAAAATCAGCCGTTGCTTGATGACTCAATTTATGAGCCGAGCTGGGACTTAAAGTTATAGGCACGGCTATAGTTAGATCGTGGTAGTTTAAATTCTTTGTCCGAGGAAGCTGTATCCGTATTGCATGATCAGTGATGTCGTTTGAGAATCTGACACCCAGGTCACCGCCATCCCTCAGAAGATCACTGTTTCCTTTGATAGTGCTGCCGCATAGCACGTTCTCGTCATTAGACAAAGGCCAAGTATCGTCAGACTTGCAAGAGACACTCCGCTTCAGCTTCTCAAAAACCTTCGGGGTGAGAAAGTTATCACAAGGGCTGGTGGAAATATTCTTGGCATTTGAGGTGATGATGTCATTCTGGGGTACGGATGCCGTACCTGATGGATCCCGGGATGAATCTTGGTTAGTTCCTTCCGTGGCTTCAGGACAATATATCGCTAGAGGTAGTAGTTGACTTTTTATTAGAAGACGGGTGCGTTTACTTAAATGATCTTCAACCTGCGCTGACGGCTGTCCAAATCATCGGTAGGCTGCGCACTGGGTACTCATGAGTCGAGTAGTAGAATTTCTACTCACCCAGCTGAGTTACTCACTCATATCCCGAGTATTGTTGAATGAGGATTACTCACTTGCCGGGTACCTAGTATAGGTCTTGGCAACCCAGTTATATCACGTGTTTGATTAGTCATTGAAAAGGGGGTGTGATCGTGACTTCACATTGATATCGATATCGTAAAACGCCATAACTCAATAACTCCATTCCCATGTCGTTGATATCCTATTCCACACTATAACCTTTGCCTTTAGGTACCAGGTTACCAGAAGGTTGCCAGAACTTATCTAACCTTCATTCCTGGGTGAGAGACATTTCCATCGATTAAGCCTACAGCTCCATGATTAAACATCATATCCCGCAAACGCCGAACCAATACCATATCCTTTGCCTGAATTGTCACTCTCTTCGCATGAATAGCAAGGAGATTTGTCACTATAACTGTTAGTATGTCCCTGTCACTATGTTCAAGTATCATACTCTCAAATTCTCGAATGAGGAAGCATTCGGCAGCTTCCTGGAGAGCTAGGATAGCAGATTGCTGGAAGCGAAGATTGGACTTGAAGTCTTGTGCGATTTCCCTAACAAGACGCTGGAATGAGAGCTTTGGAATAATCAGGCGAGTATCAAGTTGCTGTCTTCTGATATCGCGGAGAGCCTTGGTGCCTATATGTTTATTAGAGAGTTCTGGTAATCCTCTGGTAATCCTCTTACCAGACTTTGCACGGCGCATGGCCTTCTGAGCATGATTGTTGCAAGCTTGAGATGAGCGAACTGGAGCTTTTCTTGCTGTGCGCACAGCCTTTTCCTTTCCCTTTCCCTTTCCACCAAGCCTAGAGCCAGCCTGTAATCCAAGTGGCATCCTTGGTGCTGTGCCGCCAGTTGATCTCCTAGCAGTTTGCTTAATACGAGCCATTTGCTAACATTAAGATGAGTTAGTGAAGTATACACAAGACAAAGAAGTAGATCAAAAGATATATGTACTTACAGTGAGTTTGTAGCAAGGATGTTGTAGAAAGAGTAAAGAAAGAGGTAGAGGTTGAAAGGTATGTGTTTTATTTGAAGGTACGCGTTGTAGTGTTGTTTAGAACAGTAATTATTTGCAGGTGAATATTCCTTGACGAATATAATTGTTTGCAACTTTAAAAAAACAACAACCTTACAACCAACCACCTTCCTTGGTTACGTTCCGATCTACACATTCTTCTTCTCTTTTGCGCTTTACCTCTTCACTAGGACCTCAAGTAAGTTTATTATCTTGATTCTACAGTCAGAACTTCTGATGATCTTCTGCTAATCACGTGTTTAGCATGGCGAAACGCAAGGCACCTGAAGAACTCTCCACTAATTTGAATACTATCAAAGCTCGCAACCGCGTCTCCAACCTTACTGAAGATGAGAAGGCTGTTCATTTAGCACTCAAGGCTGACCATGGCGATCTGAGCTACTACTTAAAGAAGTTATACAAGTCTGCAAAGTATATCGCTGCCTCTGCTGAAGACAAGACACGTCTACAGAATGAATTGAAGGTTGAGCGTATTCGTGTTCGGTAAGTTCCTTCTGGTAATCTCTGGTAGCCTTAATCTAACTATAAACAGGACTGAAAAGGGCACCCATGCATCTTGCATTGCGAATCAGAAAGTCAAGAATACTAGCGCCCCTTCTTCTTCTCCACAAGCCCCACCATCTACTCCGCCACAACTTCTGTCTGAGCTTGCTGCATTTGAGGGTATCACCAGTATCCCAATCGATGACGATCATAACAGCGAATGGGAGGATACTGAGGTTGAAGACGATTTAGAGTTGGAGCTTATGTTACGGCGCGACGATATTTTAAATGACGAGGCTGTTCTACCAGATGAGCTTTCTGATGAAGAGATCGCTAGCATCCAGGCTCTCTTAACTCAAGCACGCATTGATGTTGGTACCTCATAGTCTGGTAATCTTCTGGTAATCTTCTGGTAATACTAACGGTTGATAGGCCCATGAAGAGTCCAATTTCCGCAAGTGGCAACATTTCTGGGATAGCTGTATCCGCTCATATACGAGAAAGGCTGGAAAGCTGAGAAAGAAGCCTGAGCATCTCTTTGAATATATGCCATGGATTTATGTAGAAGAAGGGTACGTCTCTGATCATTCTAGCAATCTTCTAGAGATACTAATTGTTTATTATAGCACTTTTCACAACGTTATCCCACCACATAAATATTTATGTTTGTACGAGCAGGCAGTTTGGACAAACTTTACAGCTTGGAAGTTTGGAAAGTGGGCCCAATTACCAGGACCTGCGCAGTGGTACCCAAAGTCTTACAATCTTGTCGACAACGGATGGTTACAAGTCTCCACTCATAGTTTTAGCTTCAAAGAGGCGTTCTTACTTGTCTACTCTAAGAAATTTGATAAGGAAAAGTGGGCTAAGGTATCAGCTGCACAGGATATGTTGTTTCTGGAGTTAGAGTAGAGGAGAGAAATGGAGTATTTGATTTTCCGACGCGAATAGGGGCTATAGAGATTTAAGTATTTCATCGTAGCCAGACTTCTGGTAATCTTCTGATAATCAAACAATTTGCTACTTGCCAAATGTCATCGCAATATTCAGAGTTGTTTGACTCTGACAATCCTATTTCTAATATATTCTCAGACTCTCTTCCCTCTTCTCAACGACTACCTTCATTAAATCAAATCCCTGCGGGCCTCGAATATACTGGCAAATTAAACCAATTCATCAAATGGACTAAGGATACACACGATGTATTCATTGAGTGGTGGAAGCTATCACGATGGTATGAACAACACTCAGATCATACTACAAAACTCCTTACGAAGATTGCATGGGATTCAACCAACCGGAGTTCTCAATACTGGAGAATTTATCACCAAGGAGCAGACCGGCTTTCTGGAGAACCATGTGTCATTTGTACCTATTGTTCGAAGGCCCTTACGCATCCTGCAATCAAGTCTGCTGGCCCAAAGTCTATGGCAACACATCTTGCATCAGACATTTGCAAAAAGAAGTCACGGATGGGTAAGGATAGTCTCTATCAAATGCGAATCAATCAGATGCGACCTCAACAGGTAAGGATTACCAGATTATTACCAGAATTATATAGGCTAATATCTATAATAGGATCATATTCTCACACAAGAGGCATTTTACGAACAAGTTCTATACACAGTTATCTCAACTCATAGCTCGTTCCGCTCAGTCGAGGATCCTGAATGGAAAAGGCTTGCTATCTTACAGAATCCTCACTATCCACTACCCTCAGCAACAACTATTCGAAACCTCTTAACAACAAAGCTCACACAAATCGAAGAAGAGATGCTACAAGATGTTGTTCCTGGTTCAAAGATTGCATTATCGCTCGACTGTTGGTCAAGTGTTACTCGACTTTCATTTATGGGTGTTATTGCATCATTTATCGACCGTCATTGGAAAATGCAAGAGGTCTTGATTGGGTTTGAACCTATATATACAGAGCATACTGGTGCTGAGTTATGTGGAATACTTGAAAAAGTTATCACAAGGCAGCATTTAGAAGGACGAATTATATCCATTACGACTGATAATGCGTCAAACAACACTTCAATGATGAGAGATGTGGAAATAATGCTTGATAGTATTGCAGACAACGAGCATTTCATTGGAGGAAAAGTACAACACATACCCTGCCTAGCTCACGTTATTCAACTTGCCCTTAGTGCTCTCCTTGGTCGAATCCGGATTACGCCAACAAATCAAGAGATCTTAATGAACTGGGAAGAAGAGAATCAGATGGAGGGCCTTGCAAAGTTGCAGAAGGACAAGGGTATTGGATTTACACTTGGAAAGGTATATATTCTCTTGTTAGTTCTGGTAAACTTCTGGTAGTCTTTTCTAATATCTCATAGCTCCGGAAGCTCACTATCTTTGTTAATTCAAGTCAAACTCGAAGGAACAGGTTTATGACTTTGCAAAAGGCAAACATGAACCGGGGTCAATCATCTCAGAGGCTTCTTCGACTTATTCAAGATGTATCAACTCGATGGGATTCGACATGCCATATGCTTCTGCGAGCACAGCAACTCAAGTCAACAATCAATCAATATACTCGAGGCGATCATGGTGCTCACATGTTCAGACTTAGCGAGCTAGAATGGAAGCACATCGAATACATCATTGATCTTACAAGGCCATTCAACTTCTTTACAACAAACATTGGATCGTCAGCCGGACCTACTGTCTGCTATACACTTGGAGTATATCAAAAACTCTTATCAACGCTTGAAGGAACTCGGCACCGGCTACGGCATAAGACATATCCATGGGCAGCAAAGATGACTTTAGCAATCGATGCTGCAGAGAAGAAGATTAGGAAGTATTATAACAAGCTATACACAAATACTGGATCTATCTTCGCATTTGCTAGTATCTTAAATCCTAGTGTGAAGCTCTCACACTTTAACAAAAAAGCAACGTTTAGGCAGGATTTAAGGCAGCTGGGCTTGTTCCTTTAAGCCTAGACATCATTGTTATGGCTAAGTGCTAGTGCTATGGCTAGCGCTTACGGCTGCAACCTCACGTGATGGATAACATTGGATATCATGGATATTATGTTATCCATGTTATCCACAGGGATCCACGGAATATCAGGTGATGAATAACATTGGATATCATGGATATTATGTTATCCATGTTATCCACAGATATCCCTTTGGCACGACGCCACTATATAAGTAGATAGTATTTCCTTAGATAGGAGCTTCATGCTCAACTCAATATAGTATTCTTTACAATACTGTAACATGTTACTTGGAAAGCCTTTGTGTTTAATCCCCTGCCTTCTCTGTCAAGTCAATCTTATGCAAGAAACCTCTGTGCCTAAAGAGGAAAGACCTAGAGCCATATTGAAGAAGACAGATGCAGGAATGCAATGCAATGAGTTGCTAGCCACGATTGCCACTGTGGAGAACTCGGAGTTGGAAGAAAGTCTCAAGAAAGTTTATGCAACAGACGAATGTGTAAAGCGAGTCTTCATAAAAACTGAAGGCGACTTCACCATCGATGAACAAGGATTGATCCGATTCAAAGGATTAGTGTATGTCCCAACAAAATGAGATGCCCGCTAGTGCAAGAACAACACTCGCTACCAGCACACGGCCATCAGGGAGTAACATGCACCTTCGAACGAATCACCCGACACTACTACTTCCCATGTATGAGGAAGCAGGTGGAAACGGTAGTAAGAGAGTGCGACATTTGCAGCAAATCAAAATCCAATAGGCACTTGCCATATGGACAGCTGAAATCGACTCCGTACCAACAGGCTTTCGATGCTCTTCTGTCTCCGACTAAGAACCACATCCTTACCGAAGACTGGTGATACGAAACAAACACAATAGCTCAGCAATACCTTGAATATCACCCCTGACAGAGCAATCTTGGGCCAGCGGACTTGGCTGGATATGTAACTTCCAGCCATAAACACATACACTAGAGGATACGGCGAGGGCTGGGAGCTGGGAGCTGACATTGGATTCGGGATAGGATCAACGCCTGGAGCGATAGGCTGGAGGAGGCAGTGGACGTCTGGGGCTGGTTGGTGGTTGGTGCAGCTTTGGAATAGTCGCACCTCTACTTTGACCACCGTGAACTTGCCACCACGGCTTCGCTAAGAACACCGTTTGGATACGGATCTGGCCACCATGACAGCGTCCACACAGAATTACTATCCTCTATAGTAAGTGCACCTCCTTGGCAGATATGATCCTTTTTAGCCCTACGGCATTTGCTAAGGGCTTCGTTTGCCTTGTGAAGAGTATAGACTTTAGTAGTCACAAGAGTTAATTAGTAAGCTAATAGCTCTATACCCTTTGCTAATGCATTAACTGTTGTAAAAATCAGGGTTAGCGAGCTTCCTTAGTAACGAGCTTCCTTAGTAACGAGCTTCCTTAGTAACGAGCTTCCTTAGTAACGAGCTTCCTTAGTAATGAGCTTCCTTAGTAACAAGCAATATGTTTAACCAAAGTTCTACGTAAGAGAGCATCTAACATAAGTCGACAAGGAGTTGGAGTCCGCAACCTTACATTAAGCTTTGAAATCACAGCCTATGGATCAAAGGGCACTAGCCCAGCCCTACGGAATCTAGCCTGTGCATTTTAGGCTGTCATTAATTGTATGTACACTGCTTTGAAGGCTAGAAAGAACTCAACCTTAGTAATATGATTGATATAAGTCTCAATAAAGGTCTTAATCTAACAACTATAGGGCTGCTTTAACACACTAAAACATCTAACATCAAGTGGCTAAGTTAGATGAGAAGAGTGAGGAGGTAAACAAAGAGTAATAATGTTGTCTGCCTTGCAATACGCTTGGAATTCAGCTGATTCATAGCTCTTATGCCTATTAAGGACTAGCATTTGATAGAGACCCTTTGATTAAGTAGTAGTGTGCTTATTAAAGTGTTGTATCCATTCTAGACCCAAATCATTATTTGTCCATCTGTTACTTGTAGGTTTAATAACCTAGTCCTGTGGAATGCCACCATCTATGTACCAATTCGCAAGAAAAGTGTTCCCTTAAACTACCAAAAACAGCACACTCTAATCTTCGCTATTAATATAAGCAATTGCTATAGCCCATTCTCAATTGCCTAGCTAGACTGCCTTGCCTCTACCACGTCAGTTGGCGCATGTAACAACCATGGCTAGGCAAATTACACCCATCATAAAGCCTGTCTTGTCAAAGTTGTAGAAATTCAGTTAAGACTGCCGTATTTTGCCTTTATATTTTGTTGAGTAATAAATGTATGTATTCCTAACTATGTAACCTATACTTGGCTTTACCGATAATGTTGAGTAACCTGTGTATTGTTCTGTCTAATTGTAGCTGCCTGAAATTACGGTGAAGTTGAGTTGGGTCACGTGACCGTATTACAACACACCCCCCACGTATCCCAGCTCTACAGTAGTAAATTAAAGGGGAATTAGGAGAAAGGTTGCTCCCCAAGCTACCCGGCAAGACCGTACGGGTATAGAGCTTCGGCTTCGGGCCCGTCGGCTCCATTCTTCCTACACAACCACGCCGAACCCGACCCCTCCACCCTGACACCCACCACCCCCCACAATCAATCATTCAATTAATCAATCAAGATGCCAGTCGTTGGCAAAGTTACTGAGGGCAACCTCAAGATGGTTCAAGTCTGTGAGGACTTACACGACTCCCTCTCCGCCTACGACTTAGGCTCTGCTCCCTCCTCGGAGGATGAGGTTCTTATGGAGGTGGAATTGGAGCGGGGCTACGAGGGCCCAGGCGAGGTGGTGGTTACACACCCCCAAGAGCTTGCGGCTTGGTATATCCAAGCTTCAGGCCGTACCGCCTCCCTGGAGTGCGACCAGTGTGTGCACGCGAACGGTAGTAACCGTGCGCGCCCCTTCTTCCTCTTCTGTGTCGTCTCCGGCGCCCTTCAGGGCGGCGCCTGT